TTTGTACTCTGCACAACATTGAAGCACTCCAAGATGCTACTCTACGTGAACAGCACTATATAAATTCATGTGGCTGTTGTAAAAAAAAGTCTCATGTTCCTCCGATTGGTAAGACTACTTTCCAACATAAGTGTTTCACACTTGGCAGCAAACCTTCACACCATGATTACCACCAGATCTGGGTTACTTATACGTGATTTGAGTTACTTATATATATTTACAAAAAATAATTTGTCTTTAAGATTCTTTTAGTAACTTTTTACTTTTCATTGATGGGTAACTTATTGGATGTTATTGTGGTTGGGGTTTTAAAATGCAAGTAAAATAATAAGTAAAAAAGACAGGTTAATTGTACACCATTAAGTGTACCTTACTAAGCCAGTCTGGAAACTTAGCATCTTGTTTGATCCTCAACTATCCTTCCTACCACACATCAATGCCATGACCCGCTCTGCCTTCCCCCACCTCCGCAACATCACCCGACTCTGCTACTGTCTCACACCACAGGCTGTTGAAACCCCATTCATTACATCGAGGCTTGGCTATGCAAACTCCTTGCTTGTCGGCCTCCCCAACTCCTCCCTCTATAGGCTGCAGATCATCCAGAACTCTGCAGCTCATGTCCTCTCCCACACCAGGCTCGGTGACCCTATCACGCCCATCCTCGCCTGACTCCATTGGCTTCCCATCACACAGAGGATACAGTTCAAGATCCTGGTCCTCACCTTCAAAGCCCTCCAGTCTTGCTTCCTTCTACCTCTACGACCTCCTAATCCCCTACCATCCTGTTCGCTCCCACTGCTCAGCGGCCTCCGGCCTGCTTCACATCCCCTGCCTTGCCTGCCCCACCATTGGCAGGCGGGCCTTCAGCCACTCTGCCCCCACCCTCTGGAACTCCATCCCGCAGTCCCTCCGCCTCGCCCCCTCCCTTGCCTCCTTCAAGATCCATTTCAAGACCCTCCTCTTCGACTGTGCTTTCGATCACCCTGCTTCCCCCACTGCCCTCCACCACGCCCAATCCTGACCCCCAGCTCAGATCCAAAACTCTGACTGTCCAGTGCCTTGGATGTCCTCCTAACGTGAAAGGCGCTATACAAATGTAATTTTGTTGTTGTTGTTGTTGTATACTAATCGTTAAAGCTGAGAAATGTACTGAAATTTTTAGTTTGAAATCCCAATCATATTGATAGATCCATAGAAATTCAGAACAGAATAGATGGCCTTTCAACCATTCTTTCATTACTGGTAATACAGTATAATGTCTTCTACTTGGAAATAATTCTCAAAAATTTGCAAGCATTAAAAGATCATTTCTTGTTATGAGGAAAATATAATTGTATATTCAAAGTTTCAACATCATTTAATAGCTGGAGACCGTTCCATAGTCATGCTACAAATATGGCTATTATCAAGGACCCAGTGTTCTATTTTTTCATGAGACAGGAAAATTATCAGCCACTGGTTTCTAGCATTCTTGTGGACAGCTGGAAGTCCTGAAAATGAACCAGTGCGTCAGATAAAACATTTCCTTTGGGACGATGGTTGTGGTTCAACAGCAGCCCACTTAACAGTGCAAGGATATTTTATTTCCTGCAATGAGGATGAGCTAGTCACAGATCAACTGCATCAACTGAATAATCCATGATACATGAGAACTGTATATTGCTGGAAAGCTGATCATTTCAGGTTTGTGGCTGCCCGGTTACCCATTTTATTAGTCCTTTGGCACTTAGAATACTAGGATTTGAGGTTTCTCCCAGTGATGTCTTCGTAGTGTCATTGGGCCATCTGGAAAGTCACCAAGTGAAAATGAAATGCTTCTAAGGAAGGATATTCTGATTTACTCACCCTTCCTTTCACCTTTGTACCTCCACCCCCATCCCCACATGCAGAGCCTGACAACCAATGCCAAAGGTTGCTTGCCTATCCTGTTTGTGAGTATAGAGCGATGTCACTCTTGGGGCAAGTCAGAAAGCCGTGGGTTCAAGTTCCACGTCAGCTTGAGGCTGTACTGCATTGTTGGAGAAGCTGTCTTTTAGATGAGACATTAAACCGAGGTCCCTGTCCTAGAAGGTGTTAAAGATCCTGTGGTGCTATTCGAAAAGAAAGGGATTTTCTCCCAGTGTCCTGGCTAGAAATCCTTCAGATAAAATTGTCCATTCACTCTGTGGTAGTTTATAGAATATTGCTGTGCACAAATTATCTGTTGCGTTCGCCTACAAAATACAGTGTTGTTATACTACATAGTAAATCTTGTGAAGCACACTGACATGGCTGTCTGTTTTGATAGGGACCTCACCGGGATTTATCTTAAGAAATTAAAATTATGAAATGTAAGATGCCGATATAGACACAGCACAATCACAAAAAGAGGAATACAACAACAAAACAATGACAACATTCAGGAGGATATCCTAAGGCACTGAACACAATAAAACACTTTAAAGGATTTTGAAGAAGTTACAGGGATTTGTAAAATATATTTATGAAACATTATCACTTAGAAATGCTGAACAAAAACCACCTGATCCAGGTGAGTAGATAGGACATGAAAATGCAGTTAAATTCGAAACAGTCAATATTCTTAAGGAGAGGGTACTGGCTCTTTCACAATGAATATCTTACCCTTTCTGTGACCTATCCAAAAAATCAAATATTCCATTAGATGACCTCTTTGTAAAGGCAATGGAGTAATAATGGGGTGAGTAGATTGATCAATGCTTTATAGAGCCTTAAGGAAAAACATCTGTACCTCTTTTTGTTTGGACATGGGGAAAACTGGAACAATACAAGAGGACTCCACAGCTGTGACTGGTTTGTCGAACATCTGTTTCTGATTTGCAATGGAACTAAGAATGGAAGTATCACAGACAGGGTTCATGCTGTAGAGTTTTAACCAGAGCTTTAAGTTACAGTTGTAGCTCACAGTAGGCTCAAACTAAGCAATGCAACAGATATACGAAAAGGGGTTTAATAATGTGAGCAGTTGCCACAATGTGTAGCACAGTAATCACCTTTTGTACATGAATTCAGAAAAACAACATGATCTGTAGTCTTGTGGCAGATCATCTGATGAAATATTACTCTCCTAAATGTTCTCCACCACAAAACTGCATCACGAAAGAAAGCGTAACATGCAATTTTTTAATAAATGATGCAATTTATAAACATTTCCCACATCACTGTGCCTTCCTGTTTTGTGATAATAAACAGTGAGAAACTTTCTTCATAAGTCACATAGCAGGACATAGGTACTTGTAATTACGAAATCTGATCCTCTCTACATATTTGGAGTCCTGTAGCTCAGTGGTTAGAGCACTTGCCTCGCAAGTGAGAGACCTGGGTTCGATTCCCGGCAGGGTGAAACCTTGGGCAAGTTTCCTTACTCCACACGCCTGATAATAATCCCTCAAGAAAAGAAATAATAAATTGGTCACTTCAATCCACGACAGTGATTGGCTGCCATATTTCGCCCACAAAAATACAGTCAATTTACTTTGCAGTATATTCTGTGAAGCGCTTTGAGACATCTAGAAGATATGAAAAGAACTATCTCAAATGCAAAGATTATTATTGTTATTATATTTAATTTAATAACCACAGTATTAAAGGGTGTGATGTAGAGAATAACAATTGCTAATTGTTTTTTTCTCATATCCCTCGATTTTTAGCCTATTCTTCTTTGGACGTTCTTACAGCAACATTTTAACATAGAACAAAGAAATCAAATTGGATTAGAAATAAATTGCACAGTAGAAATGGTCTTTTAACTTAAGAAGACAACATGTGGTCAAGTATTCAAATATCATTTATTTTAAAAGTATGAATAACTCTTTTTCAAGTGCCGCACATGTTTCCTATCATCTGTCTGTTGCATTTCTGTCAGTGGATACGAATTCTGTTGCTGTACATGAGGAGATGCTAATGTGATATCATTTACTTAAGGTACATGTCGCTTAATTTCCTAACGTGCACCAGAAAACGGTGACCTTGAGAAAGCACTCTCAAAACAGCACACAACACATTCAATCATTATATTAACCTAAAATTACTGTACAATTGTTCAATGCTCCAAATATCTTAGTCACACATTGGTGTCAAGAGTAAATTTTCTCAAGAAGGCATTCTCAGCATGAACCTCTGTGCCCATCCTGATGTTGGGAATCTAGAAATTATCAGCTCGGAAGGAGGCTATTCCGCCCATAGTGTCTATCAATTATGTGATACATGTTGGAACTCTAACTGTGCAATTCTCTAAATGAATAAAATATCCTTGTTGCACAATAAAGAAAACACCTATGGAATTGAGAAGATATCTACGGGATATGAACCTAAGATCTTGAACTTCTAAATGAATATACATTGCTTTCTCATTCAGCTCTGTTAGTTGCAATATATTTTGCACTTCAACATACAGGAATTTAAAAGAAAGTTACTATATTTTGTATTTTCCAACAATGCTAATGACTCATAATTTGAGAACATTCCCAATAGCAGGTTTGGATATATTATTATTGTTATATTCCGTATTTGGTTGTATTTGATTACACTTTATATATTCATGACAATTTATAAGAAAGAGATATGGTGAAGTTTGAATTCCCCTTATCAAGCATACACAGAACAGGTTTTATAACCAAATACTACAAGTGGCTCGACAGGTTGGACAGAAATAATACAGTCCAATCTTCTCATATCTCTGGTGCAGAAAACGGCAAACTGGATTGGCACTATAATCACACCCTTCAGGCTGTGCTCAATGGTTAAAGGCACAGAAATGCTAATGGGGTGAGTCTGCATGTAAAAGCTTTGCTGAACTTTGTTTTAATTTACAAAGGGTAATCGAAAGAGAAGTAAGGCACTGTGGTCACTTGGGCACACCGTGCACAAGACACATGGTGATGTGTTTCTAAGTTATTATATCACATAAAGGTTTGGTAAATAAATGGGATACAGGATTGCCAGATACTTAGCCAAGAAAACATTTTTTTAATACCCTTTTTCCGTTTTTGGTCAAAGTCATTTTGCATTTCCTTTTGATTTCTGCTTTTCCAAATGCCTTGTCAGGTCATCAATTCGCAGGTCTTTCAGCTGTACCAGATGCTCAAGTCTGTGCACTTTCATCTGCAAGATCTGTCGGAAAACAAAGCATTTCTGCAAAGAGTCTACAATATTTGCATTGATATTACACACCAGCTTAATGCTATGGTGAGGAACACAGGATGCAGCTATAACAGGAAGGAAAAAGAAGTGCCCAATTCCTGCAACACCCATGGGAAAAGAATGGGCATTGTAAGATGTATAGAAAAAGGCATTCTGAAATGCTGCTAAATATTTAATATGTACTTTGACAGCATTTGCCAAATTCTGAACAAAGAAATGCTTAAAACAAAACTGTATGTATAGTCTCCAGTAGAATTTCTCCCCACAGGTCAGGAAGGAGTAAACTGAGCAGTAGTTCAGTTCTAGAAGGGTTACAGGACATCATGTTCATGGTATCCATGTTTTTGGCAAACCTTTTGTTTGGGGAAAAGGACAGGTAGAGGAGCCCTACAACACATTTATCACTAGTTACCTTGTATAATCAATCCAGTGATGCGTTTCAATGCAGTTTAAATCATGATTGTTTGTTTGCAAATCATAAAAGGTTGGTCAAACACTTTTTCATCAAGACAGTGACCCGTTCACAGGCTGCAGTTATACGCGCAGGCACAATGAATTAGCCTCTTTCTGCAGTAGATCACAAGTGGTGCATCTGACTCACTGGCACTGTTTTGCAAACCAGAAACTTAGATGGGCACAAAGGAAATGATTAATTTTCTGAGACAGCACCATGTGCTTCCCTTGCCCATCACCATCTGGAATGGGCAGTGTACTGCAGTGCTGAAATACTGTCCTGCCCTTCCTGTGTTAATCTTTAACACGGAAACCAATTTGAACAGTTCATTATGAGAACAAAAATTGTCAGGAAACAACACTGCTGTGTTTACGTTTACTCACTCCAATTCTTTTATCTACAGAAGAGTGACAAAGCAGATTGCGAATCTCACCATACACATCACGAAATAGGAAATAAAATTTGTATGAAGTTTATTAGATAGAGAGGAAGGGTGGGGGTGGCAGGGAATCTACTATTAATTGGTAGATCACGTCTTTGAGATGTCTCAAAGAGCTTCATAGAACATATTGTAAAGTGGATGGACTGTATATTTTGTGGGCGAAACACGGGGGTCAATTGTGAACAGTAGTGTCCCACAAACTGTCGTGGATTGAGTGCCAATTTTTTTGAAGGATTATTACTCCTGGAAAGCCATCCACCAATCAACTAACAACAGGGTTCCTATTTACTGCTAGGTAAACAGAGGGGTGTGGAGTAAGGAAACTTGCCTAGGGCATACCTTCCTCCCTGAGAAGAAGCATTGAATCTCTATGTTATATCTGATCTTGACCATTTGGTTAAGATTGGAACTCAGTGCATGGATGACCTGAGAGCATTAATCTGGATCTTTGTAGTTCAGCACATAAATAAGTTAATTCTGTACTACGCTGAGGCTATGTGGCTCATGGCGTATTGCTCTCCATGTTGTTATGAGGCCCAAATCTAGTAGACAAGAGCTTACCAGCCTAAACTGAAAAGCAGCAGAGAATTAATTATCACTACTACATACCCACAAATTCTCTACTGAATCCCATTCTGGATTGCTCATCAACAGGTCATTTTCTGGAAACATTCAATAAACTATGACTAACTATTGCTCATCTTGTAAAAATAATACCATCTTTGAAGCTTTCATTGTATTCCAATGGAAAATGATACAGTAAATGTGTCTTTGATTTACACTACCAACCTCCACCGTTTCCTGAAGGGCTAGCAAAGCTTGTTCTTTTTCCTCTAACAGCAGACGAATTTTAGGATCTAATGCAGAGTACTCCTCGTAACCTGACCTAAAACAGACAAAAATGTGGTTTAATATGAATCATTTTCACTGCCCTCCTGCAACACACCTTTACAGCAACCTGTACATTCAGTGCATGGACAAAGAAACAAACCCAAAGAGGTTATATCTAACAGGTCTAAGCTCTAAAGTCTGATGCAGACATAGTTTGAGTTCATTGCATTTGCATGGGGGAGATAAAAGGTTGCTAGTCATCAAATTCCACATTTGCAATTTTTGAGACAACACGAGGAGAAGATTAATGTTAGGATTGTAAAGGTTAACCTCTTACAACTAAGTTCTTGTTTTTTGTGGTAGCTTTAGAATGGGAACTCTAACTCCCTTAGACTGGCCTGAATTCTCAAATATATTTAAATGCATTCTACATATTTATTGTTTAAATACCAATGCAAATAATATCTGTTCAACCACAGTGTTTTTGCACAAGGACACACATTTGTGATTGACATATATTAGACCATGTTTAATATTGTTTTCCATTTTAATATTAATCAATTTATTCATATTTTCAAATAATTTCCAGAAGGTTTGGTGAAAACTGCATCTAGAAATAGGTTTGGAATTTTCAGAAATCCTTCCAATAGATCACATGTTGATCCATTATGGGGAAGATAATGAATTGATTTTGTTCTTCCGTAGGCAGGTTTCACCCTCATTCTATTCCCAATTTTCTCTTTTATCCCTCTCTTCTGTTAAAAGTAGGCGAATTTTAGCTTTCAGTTCCACATGGGCTGACAACCCTTACTAATCTTTTCTTCACATGGAAGCCAAGACAGTGTATATCACTGACTGCCGGTGGCTCACAGCCAGGACAATCATATCCTCATTCAACAGTCACAGAAAATGCACTCCCAGGACATTTTATTCAATAATAATCAGCGGCAAGAGCCCTGACTGACGCATCTCTTCCCTCGCCTGAGCCACTCATTCCAATTGTAGGATGTTATTTATTATTCATGCACCTTCTGTAATATTTGAAGAACATTGTAATTTTATTTTTAATTTAGAAATTTGTTTCCATCTTTTCTCCCACTAAATAAAAGGCCCATGGGCAACAACAATCCTCCAGGAGCTCATTGGGAACGGAGTTCTTCTTGGGCAGCTGGTTTTGATTTTCTTTTACTTGTTAAAACTTTATCAGAATATTAATGAATCAAAAGTCCCAGATGTAATCAACATAATTATTTAAAAAGAGCTTTGGATTTAGTTTGCATTTTGTTTGAATGCAGAGATGGCAATGACAAGATGATAAATTGATGCTGCTCATACAGTGGGGAAGACTGCAATTATACTGTTGGATTCACTGCCTCTGTTTCAGCTATCAGCAATGCTACTTATTTGAGGCAGTTTAAGATTATTGCAGCATTGCCACTGGTTGTAGTGTATACTCATCTAACCTATGTTAGATGACTTTTTTTTTGCCTTATACTAGATCTTCGTTAGGATATCATTCCAAAACAAATTAAAAATTCTGTCCCACTTTATGTGGACAATCTTGAAATACTGCATAACCATGCTTCCCATAGGTCATAAGACAGGCGTTGCACCACTACAATATTTAGCAATAAGAATGACCTAGCTTTTAGTACAAGTGGTTCTGCTTTGCAAAGACAAGAATGTTACTGTTTAATTCATCAGTGTCCTGGAAATACGTCAGTGTCCTGGAAATGATGGCAAACAGGACAAAGCATAAAAGCAGAAGTCACAAGGAGCCCATGAGATGTATTTTCTAATGGGCCAAATGTTTTATGGCACATTGCGCAAATAAATTGAATTTAAGGGATTACCACATACCAAAATATTCTAATGGTAACACTACTCACTGTTGTTTGACTAAAACAGCACTTTGTTGTGCTGTGACCTGAATTCATTTCTTATTTTAAGGAGCAAATAGAGAAGATGTTTAACAAAATTTGAATAAAGAATGGATAATCCTACAGACTGTAAAAGAAGGAGCAAAACTTGGATAATGCACAAGTAAAATGGTGACCTAAAAAAATGAACAAAATGGGACATTTCAGAACATCCCTTGCTGCACTATATTTTATCAAAGTGTAAAACCTCAGTTGGAGATGTGGATTTTCAATTAAACAACTAGAAAAAAATTACTTTTGCAAGGTTACCAACAATAACCGAATTACTCCCAGAGGTATATTCTAAAATTGGTGTGATTTTAATGATTATATTTTAATTCCAGTATATTTTAGTTTTTAAATTAGTTATATACAGTAGTTATAGTTATTATATTTTAATTTCAGTAAATTCACCAGTGTCAGAAATGTGTGTGAATAGAAATTATTTTACATTATAAGCAGGACTTGTTTTACCAGAACAAAACCAGAAGTCGCTGGGAACACTCAGCAGGTCAGGCAATGTTGACTCACTTTCCTTTCTCCATAGATGCTACCTGACCAGTGACTTCTGTTTTTGTTTCAGATTTGCAGCATCAGCAGTATTTTGCACTTGTTTTACAGAAGCCATTGTCAATAAAGACAATCAATCAAGATACAGATGTGAAAATTCACTTTGAATACCTAATATTCACAAGCTTATTTCTGTAAAAAAAATACTCACTTTCTGGGTGTTTGTGGATCTTTGCTATGTGCAAGCTGGATGCCACATTTGCATGCAAAACACAGCCACTACAATTCACAGTAAAATCCTGTGAATGTCTTTGAGATGATCTACAAATCTCTAACAAGATAAAGTGCTATATGCGAGGATTATTAAAACAATCTTGCAACACCGATGATGAACTAGTTATCAAATGTTTTAAATTATAAAGCTGCAAAGGACAGATTAAAAATACAAGGCCAGGATCGTTTTACTTTTTTTAATTAACTTACTTTAATATTTCAAATAGTTACAAGACTAAAATTATTCTCTCAAAAGCAGTTTCCATTCTGAGGAAGGACCATGTGAAAGATCTTAAGGCAACTCTTAAGGAAAGGAAGACAGGAAATATGACATGTAGAAAAAATCTTCAACTGAATAATTCTTGCATTTGATATAATGTCTTATGAACATCATCAATGTTCTTTTCTATTGTAAAATGTAATGACTCTGTATCAGTAGGTGAATATACCATATCTAAAGGTCTGTAATGTATCATTACACTGCATATACCAGGCATTTATCTCCCACAGTACTGACTTATATGAGAAAGGAAAGTGCACAATAAGCATATATCAGAGTTAAGTATTGCTCTGGCAAACTTCACATCATTTTGATAGGAACAGCAAAGCAACTGTGCTGAGTGAGTCTATATGTACTATTCTCAGAAGTTGATTTTGAAGTGTCAGGAATGTATCCAGTATAAATATGTCTCAGTTGGCAGTCATTGCTGCTGCTGTTCTTGCTTGGAATTGAATGGCCTCCAAATTGGTAGTAAAAGGGTGAGAGAATCAATTGAAATACATCAATTACTAAGGCACCGCAATCTTCATCAGTTGACTCTTCCAATATCCAGCATGCTTTAATATTGAATATTCAGATATTGGGTGAACCCTGGAATTGTTGAACCCTAAATGATAGAGATTGTAGAGATATCTATTGATGCTTAGCTGGATTGAAAGGGTAAACTCATAACAGCACTTTTAGATTTGCCATGGTTGGAGAGCAATAGGGTGCAGAATTAGGATTGTGAAGAGCAAGTTCACAGCATCATGGCAGCTCAAGACCTGTTGAATATTTGCAACATAGGTGACAGAACATAGAAACGAAAAAATGAATGCCTATGTTCATCAATGTCACTTTCAGCCACCTTTATGAATTACCTTTACCTTGGATTGTGACCCAACTCTCCCTGGTAAGCCTGGCCTTTCTTCTCAAATGAATGCATTAAGAGATGTGTCTGATCTGGAAAACAATATACAATATACCACAATATACCACTTTGATGTGCACGTATTGTCAAATTTACCTCAGTTCTAACAATTCAAGGTACACAACCACCCCTCGCTGTCTGTCTCCCCAGCCCCATCAGTGGTCAAGGACTCAGCTATTATACCCTTATGCTTTGGAACTTGCTCAAAATCTGTCTCTGCTTTGCACCTTCTCTCAGACTTCAAAACCCTTTGAACACGCATCTTTCTGACTGTACCTTTAGACAACACCCTCAGCCTCCACCTCGCCTCCCTCCTGACCATCCCCTGGAGTTCTGTAGCTCAGTGGTTAGAGCACTCGCCTCACAAGCGAGAGACCTCGGTTCTATTCCCAGTAGAGCGACACTTTGGGCAAGTTTCCTTACTCCACATGCCTCTGTTTACCTTGCAGTAAGTAGGAACCCAGTTGTTAGTCAATCGGCGGATCGCTTTTCCGGGGACAATAATCCCTCAAAAAAATAATAATAATTTGGTCACTCAATCCACGACTGTTTGTGGGACACTGCTGTGCGCAATTGGCTGCCACGTTTCACCTACAAATATACAGTCAATTCACTTTACAGTATATTTTGTGAAGCGCTTTGAGACATCTAGAAGATTTGAAAAGCACTATATCAAATGCAAAGATTATCATTATTATTACTCAAAGATAAGACTGGCACTAGAGTAGATTGTTGCCACAGATATGTACTGTATGTAAACACTACTTTCGCAAGTGCTTTTTTATTTCTGTAATTCAGTTTCAGGAAGTTATTGCAATTCACTGTACATGGGATACGAAAGGTCAGTATTTTACATTAAGAGCTATGTCTAGGTGAGGAAGCTCAAAAGGTTTAAAAGTTCAAATAAATTTGTCAAGCTCTGTTATTGACCTCCACCTAAATGACTGTGAGCCATCACTTTTTGGCAGATTTGCGTTTGTGATTGATTAATATTAAAGGAAATCCTTTTCCTCTGATTTGTCAGATCAGAGCAACCTTGACCCACAGAACAGGAACAAGCATCATAGGCCCTTGCAATCCCTTAGAATTGTGAGACAGAACGATTACAGCAAATAATGTGGTAAGACCATTACACATCCTAAAAGAATGTTAACTGCCCTTCAGCACATTGATTTGTGCTAAAAGCACACGGATACGGATTGTTACAGATTTGTCTCACTCAACTTTCTTTCATTTCAACTGTCTTCCGGAAGATGATGTGTATTGGTTGACAGATTTGAGGGGCAGCCAGAGAAGCTGGGATGCTTTCTATAAACGTTTGGCTCATTTATAAAACCAGGTTATTCTTTTTAGGAGCCAAAATTTTGTGCAAATCTAGAGCATAAGCACAAGAGCACATAACCCTAAGAGCACAAGCGGGTCATGAAGCCACAGCACAGTGCACAAGCAGAAATGTCACTCATGGGAAGAGTGGAGCCTTGACAGCTGAATTTCTCCTCAATGCTAGGTAGAAGAACCTGCCGGGTAGACTATCATCACAAAAATGGCCTTAAATCATTTAGTTGATTTCTATGTTTTTGGCAGATTTGCGTTTGTGATTGATTAATATTAAAGGAAATCCTTTTCCTCTGATTTGTCAGATCAGAGCAACCTTGACCCACAGAACAGGAACAAGCATCATAGGCCCTTGCAATCCCTTAGAATTGTGAGACAGAATGATTACAGCAAATAATGTGGTAAGACCATTACACATCCTAAAAGAATGTTAACTGCCCTTCAGCACATTGATTTGTGATACCTGTAGTGAAAATTACAATTTTGATTCGCTTTCTAGTATTTTGCCCAAATGGTAATTATTCCTGTGTGAAGTTTGCCAGTCAGTGTGGTGAGTGGTCATTATTCTCCTGTGAGCCTTAACAGTGACTACTAGCTTTGCTATTTGAGACTGGAGAGGATGACAACTCAGCTCCCCTCCCCATGCTATTCTCATCTAAAGGCCACACATGGAATGTAACAATCAGGGTCTCTGGGTAGCAGTGAAGAATGTCAACGCTATCTAAATTTTGCCATCTCTAATCCAGCCACATAAAGGGCATGTGTAGCACTCCCAACTAGTTTTTGTTTTTTAAGTTTTTTGTCTGTAAATCACAAAAGAAAAGGAATAAACCAGCTTACCTGGAAGGGTCTGGTCACTTCTATTGCTGAAACCTTCCACAGCCTGTCAGCAAAAAGGGTATTACCAGTAATAGTTATCAAAAAATCACCATATTGTGATAATATTGTAGAACGATGCAAAGCGGCAATTTACTGTTCTTTTATATTTGAGACGGAAAGAAAGCTTCCTTTTTAAATAGCCACCTTGAGACGATGACCAGAATGTGCAGAATGGAACCAATGTATTCAGCAAAGCTTTATCTTCATAGGCTTATTGGAAGATTAGACAATGTGGAGAGAGTTACAAGCCTATGACCCAAGTTTGAAATTCAGCTAACACCATAAGCTCACAGGTTGGAAGTCTGAAGCAGGTTTGAACAGTTTCTGAAAATAAATAGTGCAATATAGTTTTTAACTTCCTCTCAGGTATATTTGTTTCTTTTTAAAAATACCCATTAGAGAAATGTTTTAATTGTGAACTGCATATGTTTAACGTTAACTTTCTGAATGCAGTGTGAACGTATATCAGTGCCATGAAGGTTAAGGCAAGAACCACCCACGAAGGCATTCCAACTTTGAATGATCCTTATCTTATCCTACATTTACATTACAGCACAGCTTGAAGAAACAGCTCTGTAATGTGAAGTTTATATCACAGCCGCCTTTGGTGGCTAAGACTTCATTGCTGCCCTTAACTCTGTGTTTTGTCATGTTCTTTACAATCTGTGCTTAATGCTTGGCATTTACACAAGGTCTATGATGGAGATAATTTATCAGTACTTGATAAATAGGACTTGTGAGTGAACATAGTATCAGCTTCTTACTTGTTTTCTATGTAGTTCTTCTTCAATCCTCTGCTTCAGGGTGTACAAAACCGGCTCAATAATTCCCGAAGAACTCTTAACCAACTTTTTTACCACTTCTTCTGGAACACGAAATTGTAATTTGGAAAATACCTTCCTTCAAAAAAAATGCCCCAAAAATATTTCAATTCAGTTTGTCTTAAATAACCATAGTTAACATAAAGCTCTTATCCAGTACCTTGTTCTCTCAAAGGGAAATGGTTGATGCTTTAATCATCTCAGGGGAGTCACTACAGTAATATTGGTTATCAATCATGTTGGAATGATACTCCTGTTGATTTTCTATTCCCATATTACTCATCTGCAAACAAACTTCAATTTGGATTTTATTGTAAATTATATCCAGAATTAATATTTGGCACAGTGTGCTTACATGAAGAAATAATTTAGCACATTAAGGATCTCAAAACAAGATAGATAACTCAGAATAAAGCTACAGCAGGTATGGATGGAGGGCTGTGAACTATCACACACACAGGATTGTTTTGTTACTCCAAATGTGCCATCAATGCATTTTATGCAGGTGAAGACATCAGAATGTCAAAAATGTACCAATAAAATGTCCTGAGCATTTCCACTTTAACATTGTGTCCACAAACTTGACAATTTGTCAATGCCCAAGTAGGAAAACTCAAAGTGTTCAAAATAAACAGACTGCCATGGTCAGTTAACTTCAGGTTGAGGGCAATAACTCAACATGAGACAAGTCCTATAAATCCCTACCTCATAAAACAAGATTAAAATACAAACATAAATCAGTTAAACGTGGGGAGTGGGGTGGGAGACAGAATATAATTTAGAGGAGCTCACTTGCTGATATTCCTTTTTCCTACAAGCCAGTTTGTTTTACCTCTGCTTTTTCTCCCCATGTGCTACATAGTTTTCCCAAATCACAGTGGGAACTCATCTCAAGGCTCTGACAATCATTTGGCAACACAGGAGAATGCCAATAATTTGACTCTCCTTCTCCCTCCAATCTTTCTATAATCCCATTATACGTGAATTTAAATCCTGCCACGTCACTTCTGGTTTCCATCATTTCTTGGTCTGTCAAACTGAATAAGCAGAGGGGTTTTATTGTAAAACAAGAAACCAGCTTGTAACAGGGGACATGTCCGTGAGTAATCAGGTACATCTTTAAATCCCACCACTTCATAGCAAAGAACACTCAGAACATTTTTAATACATATTACTTCTTATAAATTAATCTTATATTACCTTTGTTTTAAAACATACATTTTTGTAAAAAACTGATGTAAGTCAGAGATAGAAAGTAATTAATTGAAATATGCTTCCTCTTCAATAGAAATAGCATTATATGCGAATTAAATCCCACCATGTCACTTCTGGTTAAGATCATTTCTTTGGCTGTCAAATTGAACCAGACAACAGAGGAGCTTCATTGTAAAACAAGAGACCAGCTTGTAATGGACTGAATTATTCAGTAAACTTGCCTGTTTAATGTCACCCAATTGGTCAGCTTTTGTTCAGAAGAATTTGCAGGAATATAGTTGTGCATTTCCACTACCTTTGGCAAAAAGTGCTTCACGACTTCAGCTGCCATTACTTGAGAGAAATAAGAAAACAAAATCAGCCAAGGTTTGTTCCCTGAAATTAATCATTAATCAGCCATTTAAATTGTAATGAAAAAGATGAATTACAAAATCAATTCAGCACTGATTTTAACTTCCAAATAGCTGGCAAAACCAAGTAAATTATATTACAAAACACTTCCGAATTATGCTTTGTTTCCTGTTTATCAAGACCTTATTAATTGTGTGAAGAATATTATTCAGTACTGAGTACTGGTAACCAGATAAATCTGCTTAAATTTGTATTGCATTTAATTCATTTCGCATCATACATCTTCTGAGAACTCTGGGAATCATTTTCGCAAGCATTCAAAAACAAACAGTAGGAATAATTTCTAATTGGTCTTCACAAGTTAAGTAGCAACAGCAATTTACATTTCTATAGTGTCTTTCACGTCAGGAAAATGTCTCAAAGCTTTTCATACAGTGGACTGGAAGAGCAAGACGTGGTCATGGAACATAGAAATATGAATATTTCATTAATACTATTGAGATTTATATTCCAATGTTCACATTTCAAATATAATAATAATAATGCTTGCATTTGATACCTTATCATGACACGTCTCAAAGTACTATAAAGGATTTTACTGTGAAGTGTAGTGATTTTGCATTTGAAGTAGTACACTTGACAGCCAATTTGCACACAGTAATGTCCTTCAAATAGTCATGACTGGAGGATTGTTGGTGAAGACACATATCCGCAAATTAGAAGCAATATATAAAATCATCTGTAGTAGATTAGATTTAGGATTCCGCCAACAAACTTTTCATTTTCCTAAAAACAGAGTATTTCAGGTCACAACATTTAGTGAGGTGAAACGGATGCGAATAATATCGATAATGTGGCATGTCATTTTGAACTCATGAAAACTGTGATTTGTAATTTCGTCACAGACACGGTCATGTGAATGAACCTTAATAGCAGGGTGAATTGGACAACCTTTTTCTCATACTTATTTTGTTTTTTAAAAAAAACAGCTAAACTGTATTGTTTCCGTTTGGGATCGGAAAAGGATTTGAATGCTTTCTCAAGGTTCCATGTTACCTCCACAGCAGGTCTAACTGTGGAGTCCTGTAGCTCAGTGGTTAGAGCACTCGCTTTGAAAGCGAGAGACCTGAGTTCAATTCCAGACAGGGCGAAACCCTGGGAAAGTTTCCTTACTCCACACAGAGCCTAATATTAATCCCTCCAAAAACAAAAGCAATAATAAATTGGTCATTTTCAATCTACGACTATTTGTGGGACATTGCTGTGCGCAATTGGCTGCCGCGTTCGCCCACAAATATAGTCAATTCACTTTACAGTGTGTTCTGTTAAGCGCTTTGGGATGTCCTCCCGACGTGAAAAGCGCTATATCAAATGCAATTATTATTAACTATAGTAATAATGTGATGCTGCAGTTCTTGCTTTCATTTACAAATGTCCTATACGTGGCTGTGTGTGTGTGTTGGGGAGGGTGGGGGGTAATCAGGGGGGTGGTTGGTGGTGGAGGTTGCTTGTCCCATGCACCATGTTGCAGTTAGGAATGAGGTGGCAGAGGAACTCTTTCCACTCAGATCACAATAACCCTGCAAGATAGAAGTAATTTTTTGTTGCTGAATACTTATTGTTGTGTAGAAAAACTTACTGCTGCTAATTTGCAGTGCTAAAAGAGCGTTTGCATTTCATAAAAACGTGCAAAAATTTTTATAGGTATATATGTACAATGTTCTGTACATATTGCATCTACTCCGAGTTCTTTTTTAATCATAGAGCGCTTTTTTCTGTCTCTCGGTGGCCACACCTATGACCTCTTGTCAATTTGGGTTGGACAACACTGTGCTAAACAGGGGTTGTCCAAAATTAAAATGTGTTTCTAGACCAAAATCAAACAAACTACTTGCACAAAAATCAGCCCAATAATATATGTTGCCTGCTTATGGGCAGTAGTCAATTTTGGTTAGAGCTTTTGAAACTCTGCAGAAAAAGGTCTTCAAAAGGGGAATTAAATTAAATGTTTTTAAATTAGGCATCTGCACAAAGCTGTTTTTTTCACTCATAGTGCGACAAAGGCACACTCAATTGGGCGTGAATCTCATCTACACATTCATCACATCCAGATTCAACTAAACCAACTCCCTGCTTGTTGGTCTTCCCAACTCTCCCTCCCGCAAAGCTGCAGGTCATTCAGAACTCTGCAGCTCGTATCCTCTCCCGCAGTAAGCTCCGGGACCCTGTCACCTCCACCCTCAGCCGACTCCACTGGCTCCCCATTCCCCAAAGTTCAAAATCCTTGCTCCTTCCTACCTCTGTGAACTGCTAACTCCATATCGACCTGTCCGCTCCCTCTGCTCAGCTCGTTGCCCGCCACCCTTTGGAACCCCATCCCACAGTCCCTTCGTCTCACCCCCTCCCTTGCCTCCCATCTCAAGACCCTGCTCTGCTCTTCACCTGTGCCTTCGGTCACCACTGCCTTCCCTTCCTCCTAATCTCAACTCCCCCCCGCACCCACCCGCTCAGGCGGGTCCAAATCCCTGACTGTCCATTGCCTTGGGACGTCCTGCCCACGCGAAAGGCCCTGTACAAATGTAACTTGTTGGTGTTGTTGAAGTGGAGTGGCTGTGTGTTTTGTGATGATAACAACAATGATCCTCGCATTTTGATGTAGCGCTTTTCACGTCTTATCGACGTCTCAAAATGGGAGCCAGTGGAGTCGGCCGAGGGTGGAGGTGACGGGGTCCCGGAGCTTACTGCGGGGGAGGATACCAGCTGCAGAGTTCTGAATGACCTGCAGCTTCGCGGGAGGGAGAGTTGGGAAGACCAACAAGCAGGGAGGTGGTTTAGTTGAGTCTGGATGCGATGAACGTGTGGATGAGGTTCACGCCCAATTGACTGGGCTTTTGTTGTACTCTGAGTGATTCCAAGTCCCGACTGGGGTGGGGGTGGGGGCTCGAACCCACCACCTACTGACTCAGAGTCGAGTGAGGGGACCACCGAGCCCCGCTGCTGAGTGAAACACCGCACTGCGCCTGCGCGGACCCGCTACCTCCGTCACTGAAGTCTCTGGCGATGTTGCGCTTCGCTCTGGACAACGGGATCTGGTCAATCCAGGAGTACACTTCCTGCAGCGCGTCCTCCCCCAACTCCGCGTCCATATACCCCGGTGGCAGGTTACGGGACGTGTAAGTGTGTTTTGTATATAATATATATATATGTGTGTGTGAGTGTGTGGGGTGTGTGTGTTTTTGAATGGAAATGGGAAAGCCGGCGCTCGATCCCCGCGACTCCGCGTCTCCCAAGCGCGTTGCTAGGTTACCGCGCTGCCTGGCGAGGGTACGGTGTGCGGGGAGGGACTAAAGAGAGCGAGCGGAGCGGCGAATGTCGACACGCAGCCCTGGGTGGTGCCCCATCACTTGGCATCGAATTACAATACCGTACGTGCACATGGTTAGGAAGTACCACGGATCAGCTCTTTCTGGACAGTGTTTTCTCTCGCCTGCAGAACTCTAATCTTTCTCTCTCTTTTTTTTTTGCGGGGGGGGGGGCAGGATGAATGATGTCACTGGATGTCATATTATACTAATACTTGTTAATGCTTAACAATTTGGCCTGTTACAGTGTCAAAACGTCTCAGAGCAGGATTTCACCGCGTGCCACAACAGGATCTACTGAATGCCGCAATGACAGCTTGGATGCATCCGAGCGCCCTTCACGTAGGGTAGCGCTTCGTAGCGGCTAGGTCAGACATCGTGCAGGGAAGGAGGGAAATGGTGACCATAGGCACGGCCAAAAAGATCAGCATTAAGGCTGGACTTAGATAGAGAATAATAATAATAATAATCCTTGCATTTGATATAGCGCTTTTCACGTCGGGAGGACGTCCCAAAGCGCTTCACAGAACACACTGTAAAGTGAATTGACTGTATATTTGTGCGCGAACGCGGCAGCCAATTGCGCACAGCAATGTCCCACAAACAGTCGTAGATTGAAAATGACCAATTTAATTATTGTTTTGGGTTTTTGGAGGGATTATTATTAGGCGTGTGGAGTAAGGAAACTTGCCCAAGGTTTCGCCCTGCCTGGAATTGAACTCAGGTCTCTCGCTTGCAAAGCGAGTGCTCTAACCACTGAGCTACAGGACTCCACTAAGTGGAGAAGTAAAGTATAGTGACTGTGGATTTTGTTTGATCAGCCAGGTGTCTTAACAAGAGCTTGCAAACCATTTACTTGCTTCTACTGAGAGGTTCCCACTGTTCACGTGTTTGTAGAGAACACCTGCTTAGATGGATTGCGTTTTAATTTACTCTAACGAGCAGATGACCAGAATTCCTTGCTTTTCAAAACAAATGGTACAATTGAGAGCACTGTTCAGATAAAGTACAAGAATTTATTTACTATGGAAAATAAATCCCATTTCAGACTTCAGTGTTCCAGACTGACAAATACTCATTCAGTCCAGCTGAAAAAGGATACAATTTAAGAAGAAGGCTCCTGGAGTTCAACAAAGTATTTGTGATTTCAAATCAAATCAGTTACTGGAAACAAACTTAAGATAATCAACATCACAATTCAACCATCTGAATAAAAACCTGTGATTTAAACTTTAACATGATCAAACTGTCTATCGGTACTGATCAATAAGTGAAAAATAAATCTATAAGTGTAAAAAAAGACAAACATTCATTCTGTGCAATCAATTCATTTCTATGAATTGGGATGTTTAAATGCCCTGCTATGGGGACGATTTTTTTACATTCAAGTAAGGCTTTCTGTTTAAAAAATGTCTATTGAGTTTCTGTTCCAGAGTTTCTCCCAAAGCTATGCACAATCCCAGCAGCTTTCATTTGCTTTCCCTTAGCTTTGATAAGAATAAATAGATATTTTTCTCAGCAGAGAAACCAACATGAGAGCAATGTTTCTTTTTAAAGTACTGTGTATTTTCAAACCAGGGTTTTAAGCTTTCCATGCTTTTTAAAAAAAACTAGCAAGGAACCTGAGGTTAAGACAGAAATTGACATTGATTAATGGCCCACAAAAGTATTACACTTCACTATTGAAAACTGAACAAAATATCCAATTCATACACAACTTCAATGTTTTCTTTTGCATCGCCCACTGAAATGTATTATTTCCCTTTAGTCAGACATTAGATGATTTGAAAACCCACTTGTTTAAGTCTAAGAGCCAACCTAAAATAGATGAAATTGGATTCAACTAATATTACACTTCAATTATTTACCCTACACCTTCCAACAGTAAATACGTGTAAAAAAAACAACATACATTCTTTGCATACAAGTCTACTACCGGTGTGCGCTGTACAGAGTTATAAATACATTCTATTGGAATCTTTGTTCACATCAAGCACTTTTGTGCTAAGGCACACGTTGCTATGAATAAAAATAGAGTAATGAAATCCAATGCATTTGCTGAATCTGTCGATCAGAACGTGCTTGTTTGCCACAGGAAGCTTTTTTGGAGCTATATTCCAGGTCCAGCAAATCAAATAATATAATAATAATCCTTGCATTTGACATAGCACCTTATCATGTCATTGAGACATCTCAAACTACTTTACAGGATATACTGTAAAGTGGCTGACTGTTTAGTGGGCGAAATCCACACATGAGCACACTGAGCAAGATTTGCAATATTGTTCTTTATCTGCAATTGTGTTCTGTTTGATGCTTGCTTGAAAAGTTAATTAATTTGCAATACTTTTGTTTTTAAATTAAATGGTAAGACAGAGACAATAGGAGTCAACGTCATGAGGCAGGCTGTAATTGTAATATGGAAGAAAAGATGCATGGGAGGGTAATCCCGATCGTGCAATAGCTGCAGAGCAGATTTATGCAGCTTGCATCAGAATCGACACTCATGCGAGACACTGAGGTGGCTCTGGTTTGCACTGGTACTGACTGGACACATAACATGACTTGTTTCATCAGCTACATTAAATGGAATGTTTCTGAATTGCTCTGTATCGATCGCATCTGAATGGTACGAACCAAACCAGCTATGTTACAAAAATTCTAAGACAGAAGATCTTTAAAACAGAGCTCCTTAAATACGCTCAAGCTTAGTGCACATGACAAGTCTTCCCTTAAGATTCAAGTAAAGCCAGACAAATGTAACTCAATACTTTGTTTTGCTGCACGACAAATTGTGCTTTTTTTCCCCACTCTGCAGCAAAATCTTCCTTTTTTTTAAAATTGATGTAAAAATCAAGAAAAAAGTTTTCCTTAAAATAGTACCTTACAGCAAATACTTTGCTGGAGAGATTTCTGTTTTTGCTACAGAGTTTGGTGTATTATTTCACCCCGGATATTATGTTTCACATTCTTGCCCTCTGTTATTTAATTTTGTAAATTCATTCGGCAGGAAAGCAGCCTTTCTTAAAAAAATACAGTATCTTTTTGACATGACAGTAAAGAGCAATGTCATCAAGCAGGTCCCACAGATAAGCTTCTGTAAGAGAATTGGCATTTCTTCTGATATTTCCTGTTCATCTCCGCTGAATGGGTGGCATTAGTGCAACTTTTGGCCTGAAACCAACCTTTAAAAAATAAACTGATATTAGTGTGGCCACATCATAGACTTGGATTAAAATGCTGAGCAATACACAATACACTTATCAAGTTTCCCCATTTATATTGTAATTTTATTCATTTATTTTATGGAGGTCAAAAATTCCAGTTCCATTGACATAGCCCATGGTACGTTCAGAAAAAACAGCCCATTTACTTTACCATCATAACGAGCCAAGGTGGAGTTAAAAAGACATATTTTCTCCATTATGAGCAAGTCTTACAAGGTGGTGAGGAGTGGGCAGTGAGCGAGTGGAGAAAGCTGACAGTCCTAAAAATTGGCACTCACTTTATGTTGCACAACTCTGCGCACATACAATATGTTGAGCGAGATTAATTTCTCTAAAACAATGAAGTGAATGCTGCATTGTTGGAGGTCCTGTCTGCTTATTCTGTTGGTTCAGGAGAAAGTTAAAAGGTTCTCATGGACTCTTTCAAAGAAGAGCAGGGAATTCTCCCAGTGTCCTAGCCAATAGTCCTCCCTCATCCAAAATAAACAGATTAATTAGCCTTTCATTTTTTTACTGTTCGTGGGATGGAGCAGACATTTCTCATTATGTAACAGTCAATACACTTCAAAGAAACATTATATCCGAAGTTTTAACAAGACATAATATTGTATTGAATTCAAAGTGGGTGAGGACGTTTATTCTGTATTTTCCCATGGAAGAAATATGAAACATTACACACACTAGGAATGAAATATTTTCAAACATTCCATGCTTTCATGCCCCTTTAATTTTCACACTTGAAGAAGTCTTATAAAATTGCTGTCAAGTGCCTTTAGATATAGGGACAATGTGGAGGAAAAGATAGAGCCAGCAATAATCACCCACTGTCAGTACTAACTTACAAAGTGCTAATGTTCAGTGAGAGACTAACAAACTTTATGTTATACTATTTATGTATTAAGGACGGGTGAATTCAACAACTGCCTATTTCATTCATACAGGCTTAGAAATCAGTAATTACATCTAATTACAGTAATTAAAGTTACGGGTTATTGGCACCATTAAATGAGGGTCTAATTTTATCCATATCAGTTCTGCAGATAATGCTCATGATTATGCATTAGCTCATGAATGACACTTCCTCTTTTAATTTGCTTTTGCTCACAGAAACAAACAGCAATATAAAAGCCTCGCTCAACCCCATGTTTGATTTACAACATTGATGGCCCATCCTTCTGCCATTTCACCCTTGCCTTTGGACTCTCTTCCAAAGCCATTTTGCCTGGCTTCCTCTCTTCCTGCATTTAAAAACCTCTTGATTTTGGTCAACATACTTAAGTCTCCTTGCTTAGTGCTCCCTATTGTATTTGGTAAGTGCTTCAAGATGTCATTCGACCTTACGTGTCCTATACAACTGCAAATTGTTGTTCCAGCATAAACCACCATTTTTTTAATCTGGTCCTGAAGTTGGACTTGTTTTTGGTTTTGAGTGGGCTCTAACGGAGAGTCACTCATAATGGGTCCACATACTAGCCTGGCTTACAGTCTTCGCTTAAAACCTTTACGGTTATGATACTGCTTTGCCAAAAGCTCACCTGTGGTTGCTTGGCGGGAGCTGTTGGAAAGACTGGTTTGACAGCAGGGACTGGAATGGCATTAGGCTTTACTACCTGAAATGAGAGCATGTGTGTCTATTAACCTGCACAAAAACACTTTATATCTCTTTCATTTTAATTCCATTACCGAAAAAAACGGTTTCATTGATTACATTTTTTTTTGAACTTTGATGACAAGTGTTTCAATTTTAAATTACAGATTCAAATTCTGGACAAATTTTGCTGAATTCAATGCATGACTAGTTACGGCCTCCACTCCCCCGAATCCAACCCCGAGCTCAGCTGCAAACCCACGACTGTCCAACACCCTGGGACATCCTCCTGATGGGAAAGGCACTATATAAATGCAATTTTATGCATATTTTATTGGAGGGAGAAGTTTATTGCATATTTTTTGTCTTCTGATTTTAAAAGTTGATTCCAGTGTGTTGTTCTACACACGGGCAATCAAGAGTATATCTACACTCACCAGCATGTTTCCTAAAATAACGAGTATGCGTCATGCCAATGCACAGATGTTTGTGATGCACCGATTAGGAAACATTAAGAAATTCACATTCAAGCCATCTGCGCCCGCACAAACACAGGTTTACGTGACCGCACTGATATAATCCTTACATTTGATATAATGATTTTTTAAAATTTTCCTTACTCCACACGCCTAATAATAATCCCTCCAAAAACAAAACAATAATAAATTGGTCATTTTCAATCCATGACTGTTTGTGGGACACTGCTGTGCACAATTGGCAGCCGCATTTCGCCCACAAATATACGGTCAATTCACTTTACAGTCTATTCTGTGAAGCGCTTTGAGACTTCGAGAAGACGTGAAAAGCGCTACATCAAATGCAAGGATTATTATTATATATAATAATGCCTTATCATGTCATTGAGAGATCTCAAAGCGCTTCACAGAATATATCGTAAAGAGGATTGACTGTTTATTTTGTGGGCGAAACGTGGCAACCAATTGCGCACAGCAGGTTTTTTTCACATCACTGAAACACATTGCAAGCAAGTGTAGGAATGTATAAATACACATGCACACATACAAAAGTGGGGTCAAGCCCTTTCTACAACTCTGATTAAATTAGTCCCTGCTATTGAGGGACTTCTACCACAATGAAAACTAGTGCTAGAAATAAAAATTGGAGACTAAGACTATTTATATAGTAATTCCTTTTTTTAAAAAAAATGAACTTGTGCAGCTCCAGGGCCCGTTGAAGAGCACCACTGCTTTTCTTTCAGAGCATGGTGCTTTATTCACTCCAGCAACAGACCTTTCAGTGTTGCTTTAATGTCCCCAGAGGCTCTCTGCAAAGGTTCCAAGGAGCAGTGTGAGGGATAAGCAAAAAGAGAAAAAGACATTGAGAGAAAAAACTAAAATAGATGAGGCAAGAAAGTAGTTTACCATGAGCGCCACTATATCAAACTCAAATGGGCCCCTTCTTGCCTTCAATTGACCCGCACACACAATTTAATTTTCAAATGCGTGTTTCTAAAACTGACTCAAGTCCAGATCAAAAGATCCTTTGTTACGTGGCCTATTTCAAAAGCCTGTTAAAAATGACTCACTTTGAAATTGCACAGTGAGGCAAAAAAACTGAGGAACCATAACTTCTGAATCTGGATTATTGCTGGGGGGAAAAAAAATCACTCACCGGGTTTCTGAGTTTTCAGCTTGACTCACCCTCTCACCCTTTGTAGGAGGTGACACATATGCAGGAAACGGACTATCCATCATCGCACTAAGAGTTTATTGTGTCTTTCTGCTGGGTACTGTAATCTAAGCAAAGGACTGACTATACTGCCTTGTGAATAGAGCACAATTGTAACCCAAGAGAACTGAAAGAAAGCTGCATTGCATGGCATGTGGATCATTGTCTCATCAAAGAACAGTATGCAACTGGTAATGCTTGAAAACACTCTCCTACCTGCTTCTCCTTTAGATGGGGCAATGGCTTTGTCGGGGGAGGAGGGGGCCTGGCCTACAGGGGAAAAAGAAACACTTCAGCTGCAAAGCTTTCTAACTTTCAACCACACGTATAAATGGTTTCCTTTATTTTGTTAAAGGAATTTAATTCAATTTAAGGGACTGGTTCATTGCTTTTCAGCTCCTTCAGTGGCTCCAACAAAATGATTGAAAATAGTAAATGTACAATTTTGTTCTGATGAAAAAGGAAATGACTTGTTTATCTATCATCGATGTCGCAGCAAATCTAACAGTTTCATAATCCGCTCATTAATTCCTTGAACTGTTAAGCAATTCTCAAGAATAACCACAGAGACAAAGCTATGATTCCGAGTAGATGTTGTGAGTATTATTCTAAATGTAGATCATTTAAAAAATTGTTCAGGGAAGTATGCTAAGTGTAATATGAGTCATATCACTCCTTTTTTGCAGGTTTAAATATAAAGCTGTTTCTGGTTACAAAAGCCCCTCATATATGAACATTTGTAGTTACATCACCAGTTCTCTATTGCCTTCTTCAGCATTCCCTCACCGCCTAATACCTTACTTGGCCTTGACCAAAAGCAGTTAATTCATTGAGTCCTTTCACAAATGTGATGGGCCTTTAACCTTTAACCCAGACAAATGTTACCCTCTTTTACTACCAGTCAAATTATATATTTAGGCCTCAATGAAACGAAAAGGTCATTTTTAAAAAAAAAAATGGAGCAAACCCCTGTCAGCAAATTCAATGGGAATTACGATAGCCATTTGATAAAGAAAATTCTTTGCCTCAATCCCTCCTCCTTGTCCCCTCCTTGCCCATCTTCAGATAACACCTAAAGACCTTCCTCTTTGACTCTGCCACCTCCCAACTCTCCCTGGCTCTGCATCAAGCTCCGCCACTGGTAAGCACTCCGAGAAGGGTACCTGCATGAAGAGGGCTATATAAATGCAAGGTGTTGTTGTTGAAATGGATTGCTGATTACAGGGGGCTGAGGGACAGAGTTGTGTGAAGGTGGTGCATTGATTATTACTATTTCTTCTTTTAAATCTTGGGAACGACCAGGTGGACTGCAATGGCCTTATCTGGTCTTGTGTATTTCTATGTAAATCACTGTGCCTGTTTAATACTCACCGGTGGCACACGTTCTGCTACAGCCTGGTATGTGATGGGCTTAGAAGAAGGGGGTGGAGGAGGCGGTGCACTTGGCTTCACAATCTGCCCATGTGGTGGAAGAAAAGACATTTTAATGTAACAATTCCAAATAACTATGGATACAGTGACATCTCCACAGCAATACAATGATGTCCCCACTAGCTCTGTGCCAATTCAGAGTTGTAGTCCCCATTGGATATAAACAGGATTGCGTTTCAATCACTGGACTTTTATTTAGAGGTAATCGGAAGCTGGTTACCAGGAAATAACAATGAAATATAAGTTTATAAGTGAATAAGTAACAGTACAATACCTGCAGAGGTTTTGCTGCATCAGTTGCAATAAATGTTTCAGGAGAGGATGGAGGCTACAAAAATACAAGGTTAAAAAAATTCAGATCAAAGAAGATTAAAAATTGATAAACCGACTATCAACTAAAGTATTAATAATCCTCATTTAGTTATCGAGATGAGACTTTGGTCTCCCTCCCACCTCTCTGCCTTCCCTCACCCCTACACCACCCCTCCCCCATGCTTGGGCCCCGACATCTGACTGTTCAGCGCTTTGGGACGTCCTCCCGACGTGAAAGGCATCTATAAATGTAATTTTGTTGTTGTTGTTGTTGTCTAATAAATCTCAAGAATCCTGAAGATTATCCTTTTTGTTCCAGCTGTTTAATTAATTTCTAAATCCTAAGCTTCATTTCCATTTCTTATCCATACTCATAATCAAAACACATTTGTAAACATTTTCATGAGTTAATGTTAAATGCCATGGGCTGGTTGATAGCACCCAACACAAAATATTGTTACACAAATATTTCTCTTCCTTCCTTCATGCTTAACGGGATTCAAGTTTAAATTGGACCATCACTCAATAGCAATAACACAAAGATTTAAAGTGAGCAGTATGAAAATCCTTACAGTCTCATGACCACAACTGCAGAATTGGTGATAATTTCTGAGATAACATCCTTTCTGCTTTGTCACTAGATTGTCATGATATCCAATCCTCTCTCATTTATCCCTAATCACGTGCTAAGCAATATTTATGGTATAACCAGAAAATACATCGGAGATCTCCTGGATACGAGATTTCATGACCAGAGATTTATTTTCTGGACAAACGCTAACTTGTAAAAGGTCTTCTTGTGCCCCCTCTCCTTCCCCAATTTTCTCCCCTCTCCAGAAAATGCTGATCAAAGCTGGAGTAGAGTTCCACCAACAAACAGTCCTTGGGGACCTAACCCAAGTGTCTTGTCTCATGTGAATGATGCCAAGCTCTTTGACCACAGGTCTTTACAACCGATTCGAACCCTACCTTCACCTGGGTAGAAGGATATGCAGTCCACATAATTATACTGAAAACTTATGGGGCCTATAAAACTTTGTCCATACAGTTGATTATAATGATACAGAGCAGAAACAATGCAAAGCACAGGGAACAGGTAAACATTGTGTTAATAATGTTACCTTTGGTGCTTGACGGCTAGGATTCACGGCTGGGATTTCAGTAAATACGAACGGCTTTGGAACTGTTGTCATTGAGTGTTTCACATTTGGGTTCCTATTGGAAGCATAAGCTACTTTAAAATTGGTCCTGTCTTTTCCTTCAGCAAACAAGGGGTTTGACAGACCAGATGACAAACTGGGTTTCATTTGCCTGCAGGGAAAATAAAATGCAAAGTTTACACCTAATATTCAGAATTGAGCAGTATGCATGAAAATCTAAATCCAGCTGATGAATTCAGTCCTTCCATTACACTGACTTCCTGCTCTTTATAGTTATACAGTCACTCCACTTTACAATAAAACCTGTGATGCACGTTGAGATTCTTCCCCACATGATAGATCCTATAATGCAACGTAAGGGGCATTACTATTTTTGGTGATTAACAATGTTTAGATAAAACAAACCATCTGAAGTCCTACCTTTTCATCCACCCCTTGGTCAGAAATAATGTTGATTGAAAAATAAGTCAGAACAATACTCTCTACCCAAGGGTTTCAGATCAAAACCTACATAATGATGATACATGCTCCTACATGTTATGTTATGTTAAAAGTTGACCTTGTTCTTGTTTATATTTCATATGAGTCTTAAATTAAATATTTTTAAAAATGTAGCACAAGATATGATCAGTGGCATGTAAATGTATTGCCAACCATAGTGAAGTGTCTTCCTAAGTTTGTAAATTCATCTCTGCTGCGTTAACTAAACCATGGACCTGTGCTTGCATACATGTAAAAACCAGCTTGCCACAGCCATTTGCTCAATGTATGAACATTTTACAGGACTCCATTTCATTGTAACCATAATCTGAGAGATCAGAGATTGACCATCTATTTTCAGCATGATTTCAGTAATGGTTTGATGGGAAAGGTGAAGAAAGTGCGGCATACTCACGTTTTCTTTATGTATTCTTGTTTCTGGGATTTCTTGTAGTACAATAGTGCTATGGTTATTAGAATAGCCAAAATGATTAATGGCAAGATGACTGAAACGACAATGACCAAGGCAGAGATTCCTCCTGAAATATAAAGTGTTTTTGATTCATTTCTGTCAGTGTGTGGTCAAAAATCTCTGATTTTGGGGCTGTATACATACAAGGTGGAGTAAAGGACAGGTGTCAGAATAGATTATTTCGGAGCATTCTTGTCTCTAGGTTATACCTAGATTATATAATATATCCTGTGAAGTGTTTTGAAAAATCTCGAGGATGTGAGAAAGGCACTTTATAAAAAACAAGGATTATTATTATTATTAGGTTGTGGGTTCAAGAACCATGTCAAGACTTGAGCTCACAGTCTCGGGTGAACATCAGAACTCTAGTTCTGATGGAGCGTTGCTTTGTCAGAAATGCAATTTTTCAGAGGAGAGTAAAATATTAAACTGCAGTGAGGTCTAATGTCCTCTTTAGCTGGATATTAAAAATTCTCCTTGCATACTGGCCAAGATAACTCCAAATAAATTGGCCATGGCTGTGTGTGGAATAAGCTGGAATAAAAAGTTTAAACATTTTGTACAAACACAAGCTGGAGGTGATTTCTATAGAGTTCCTTCCTTACCTGATGTTGAGTATTTTGTTTGTGTGTCACAGTAAGGTGGTGCCCAGCCTGGATCACAATGACATTCCGCCTTGTGGTTACAAACCTAAACAAAAGATTTCAGACAATGAGGAACAATAAACACCTCTCCTGACAATGGAATAACTTCATGAAAATATTAGTGTAAACCAGAGATTCATGGCATACGTTATATAAATATTAACTATGACTCACTCAGCCAAGCCACCCAATAATTTCCCCCCGCTCTCTTCTCCTGAAGGTTTTGACTTGCAATATGTTAGTTATATCTGTAGTCTCAAAAGCATTGACAATTCATTGATACCTCAATGAGGTGGCTTCTTGTCATATGAAAGCCTGAGCAATTTTCTCATCAGATCATTTGACAGCAACTAGCAGTAGCAACCCTGGAGATGTTTACCTCTTCCACATTTTTACAGATCTTCCACATCTGGTTTCAACTGTGCCTCCTACTAGCTGATTTGGGTACAGGATTAATTGGGGGGTGTGGTTCCTGAATTAACTCCTTTCTATTGTAGTAGTGAGTGGGGAAGCAAGCGAATGCAGGAATAGAATAATACATGAAGCATACCCCTCGGTTGTGGCATTTTGCTGAACAATTTGGCGATCCGTATAACAGGAGACTCTGACATTGGCTGTTGTAGCAAACCTGGGAGGGGGAAAATAAACATGTTTACACTGAAAAACATCAAGAACTGATCAGATAAACTTCCAGAAAATATGGGTAAAATAAAGGGCGTGCCACATATGTGAGCAGGATGTGGTTTAAACCACACCATGTGATGGAGAGGGGTGAGGTGAAAAATAACAAGACCAGGAACTACATCAGTTAAAGCACTTCTCCCACCCAGTTAGCAATATAAAGAAATTACGAACAATTTTTTTAAAATGTAACCTTTCTACCCTTCTGTGTATCTGGCTTTGTAACTATTAAAGTATCTAATGTAATGAGTTTTAAACCTTCTTCGGTTTCCTGGAAATAACAAAGTTACATTTGGAAATAATTGTCAAGACATCTGCACTTCCACAGGACCTCATTTGTCAAAGGCAGTTTATTGATGACAAAAAAAAGGTATTGGTCTGCTTTTCAAGGCAACAACAACAAATTACATTTGTATAGCGCCTTGCATGTCAGGAAGACGTCCCAAAGCAATCCATGGAAATGATGGAAGGGACTGACTATTAATTCTCACCATCTCATCTCCGCACTTTGTTCCCATTGGCACCAGGCTTACATCAGTTGTTTCCTTGCTCTGCAGCATAATTTCTGCTACAACACAACTCTTGCGATTGTTTAACCATTGAGTGAACCTTCTCAAATTCATTTTCTGACTCCCTCCAGTGCAATGCATCTTACCGCATTTCATATCCCTGCAGAAACAAAATTGTCACAGACGATTGAGAGATGATGCCATATCAGAGGTCTCGCTCCAACTTTCACCCACAAAATACAGTCAATCCGCTTTACAGAATATTCTGTGAAGCGCTATATACCCTCTGCAGATCACAATCCAGTGACTTAGCTGTGAAGTGGGTGTCCAGTGATCTTGGTAGCAGCACAGTCACTGGCAGCGCCAAGTGACATGCAACCTATGCAATTGCATGTGGCCCCTAGGCAGTGAAAGGGCTCCCTGACATTGCGAAACCCAGTTGAAATTGCCACCCACCATCCTGACCTGGGAAGGTGGGGAGAGGAGTGAGGTGGCGGTGCATGATGGACACCTCACCGCAGTCAATCTGCAACCATCCCGGGCCTACACCGGCCATCCTCCAGACAATAGCCACAGCGCCATGGAGGGACATGCGTCCACTAAGTCCAGTTGACTGGGGACCTACAGGCAATAATGGTAGGATCCTCAGAATCGAGCTCTACATCGAGCAAAACATCCACCCAGAGCACAGTTGAATACCCTGACAACCCACATTGCCTGGCTTCACACGTACAAAAGGACCAGTTGAGTGAAGTATCAGATGCTGGACAGCACACGCGTAGCTGAACTCTCAGCACAAGGAATCACCTTCTGGGGAAAACAATGCCTTATAATGTACCAGACTTTGTTTAAGACACCATTATTAGCACTGCATTTCAGCACTTGGAGAAATATTGATCAGAGGTATTAAACCAAATGTGTTTTCCCAAAGGTTGTCAGTGGTACAAGGGAATTGAAAGGCTCCTGTTCCACTTACTTTTCCTGGCATGCCACAAACCCACGTGCAGTCTTTCTGCAATGGAAGTGCGCGTTTCCATTCCTGTTAAGTTCAAAGCAGACATCTTCTGCTACCATTGTACCTGTGTAACAACAGAGAAATAGATACTCTGTAAATCAACTCAGTTAGTGGTTGTTACATTAACTGAATAATAATTCTCATGAAAACCATTTATGTATTGACTGGTGCTTCAAATGGTGCAACTCTTTCTCCCTTTGGAAACAGACTTTTTGAAAACTTTGAATGCTTCATGCAAGGAAAGTATAAAGTCCAGTAAGGGAAATATGGGAATACAGGCAATGGCCTGTATAAGGAGAGTGACCTGTTTAATAATAATAATAATCCTTGCATTTGATATAGCACTTTTCACGTCGGGAGGACGTCCCAAAGCGCTTCACAGAACACACTGTAAAGTGAATTGACTGTATATTTGTGGGCGAACGCGGCAGCCAATTGCGCACAGCAATGTCCCACAAACAGTCGTAGATTGAAAATGACCAATTTAATTATTGTTTTTGGTTTTTTGGAGGAATTATTATTAGGCGTGTGGAGTAAGGAAACTTGCCCAAGGTTTCGCCCTGTGCCTGGAATTGAACTCAGGTCTCTCACCTGCAAAGCGAGTGCTCTAACCACTGAGCTACAGGACTCAGTGTTTGAATTTAATTTGAGCAGGATCAACTGTAAAGTGGAAAGTGACTGTATTTTGTAGCCAAGTGAGGTAGCCAATTTGCACACAGCAATGTCTCACAAACAGACAGTCATAAAGTGAATTGTTAACCTTGGCAATGTACTGCACAATAGCTCATGGTCCTGCACCTTGATTCTCAATAATCAAGATTTTGCCTTCCAAGCCAGAAATTCACATCAGTGTCCAGTTATGTGAAGCAAGGTCACACATCTGCTGCAGTCTTTACAGCACATGGTAGAAATTCCACTTGGGTCTAGATTTACTACATTATCGTATAATTGCAGACCTTCCAAAATTTGGCAAATTCTTAAATGCAGTCTTGAATTTAGAAGTATCGCATGAGCACTTGCCAGCTGCACCGAAATACGCATGCGCAGCGCAGATTATTGATTAAATCTGATTTTATAAGATTGATACAAGTTTGCCTGCAACTCAGACTTTTGCGTAAGTCATTATTAAATGTTATGGGACCAACTGATAAGACTTATGTGAGTTTTACTGTTCGGGCACAATTTGTTTTATTACTCTTCAGCATTTGGAAATCAATTAAGTTAATTCTTTGTCCGCATTACCTTTTCCCCACAGATCAACACAGTGCTGCTTATGGGTAGGACACCGTCCCTTGTAGCAGTAGCCTTCCCCATTCTTGCAAGGAAAACCATTCATCCTGAAGACGTCTTCCGGGCATTGGGTGTTCACGCCGTCGCAGTATTCATTCAGATCACAGTCATGACGTGCAGCCCTGCAAAGCTGGCCCAGGGGTTTGATCTGAATTAAAAAGGCAAACAGGGCAATAAGGATCCTGCTCAGGAAGGACAGGACAAAATATTTTCAAGGTAAAATATTTTCTTTAAAGGACCTACAGAAAACTCTCATCTCACTGAATTCCCACAACCATCTACATTAATGCTGCACCTCAGAATTATGATTGAAATATTGTCCAACATTTGCACGCTCTGAAATGCTAAGTAAAATGTCTGAGTGCAGACCCAGAGGAACTTTCTCCCCCCTGATGTCTATACCTTGCAGTTTTGGCAACATTCCCCATCAGAACACTCCATCCCATCATTGAACCTGCAGGTTGTGAAGTTGCAGCATGGATTTGTGCATTCCTGTAAAACACACACGCGCTTATATTTTATTTTGCAAAACTTTCAAACTCTTATCACACAGTATTTTCAAAGCCTATACATTATTGCTGCATCTCCAAATGCTGAAAAGCACTTTGAAAAACAAAGCAAGATTAAAGTGGCTTATGAACTAGTAACATAACACTAATAATAATACTTGTATTTGTATGATAGCAGTCAATGAGAGGCCACCGGCTTGTCAAGCCTGTTTCATCAATTTATCAAGTTTAATCCCATTTCCCTACCTTTACTTCAGATCCCTTTAAAACCTTATTTCCCAATCAATTCTTTCCCTACAGCCTTTGTGAGGCAGTGCATTCACCATTCTCACAAACTTCAGCAGGAAGAAAGCTGATCTTGCTTCTTACCATCTTAGCCTATGAAATAATAATAATAATCTTTGTATTTGATATAGTGCCATATCATGTTGATCAAACATCTCAAAGTGCTTCACGGAATATACTGTAAAATGAATTCACTATATTTTGTGGGTGAAATAAATAATACAATTATATAATAAAATAACAAAATGAAAATAATTAAAATAATAAAATTATATAATAATAAAATTAAAATAAAATAATGCTAGAATTTTAAGATTATGCCCCCTTGATTTGGATCCCTCCAAAGCTGATAAAAGCGGGATAAAAGAAATGTAGGTTCGTTATTTCTATGAATGTGATTTTTATTAAAACAAATTCACAGAGCGATCAAAACAGGTTTATCCCCAACAAGAAACAAACCTCTGCAGTGCCACAATCACATTGCTCCCCAGGATCAAGGAAGCGGTTCCCGCAGGCTGGGCTTTCATACAGTCTATCTACTCCGGGGGCATTCAGCAGACAATTGGGTCTCCTCGATATCAAGAAGTTCTTCATGTCCTCTGAACTGCAACTGCTGAAGACTTTAGGAAAAATGGTCCTGCGCACAAAATCGAGAAAAACAAGAGCAAACAAAGTTGAGGTAAGATTTGACCTGTTCTTAAATTACCCGCAGCCAGCTGGTAGAATCAGGGGAAGCACCTAAGACTGAACATCTTTACTTTTAAGACCATTGTTTTAAAATGTAAATTTGTACACAAATTTGAAAAAATCTTAAATTCAGTATCAATTTAAAAAGTCAGTTTTTACAGTTATTAAAACCATTTGTGGGACACTGCTGTGTGTAATTGGCTGCCATGTTTCATCTACGAAATTTGCAGTCAATTCACTTTACAGTAAATCCTGTGAAGCACTTTGAGACATCTTAATGACATGATAATATCAAATGCAAGGATTATTATTATGCATAAATGTCTTTTATGTAGATGAACTCCTGAAAAGATGAAGGAAGAGTGGATTCATCTGGCAGGGAAAATGTACATGAACAGATGGCAACCGGGAAGCCTTCACCTTACTGAATACTTACACTTACCCAGTTTGCCCATCCATGACACAGCCGCCTTCCTGCTTTGATTTGTAACATTTACATCTCAAACCATGATCCTCATCATGCAACATGCCAAAATTGTGACCCATCTCATGTGCAATGGTCGATGCCAGTCCTATTGCATTCTTACTGTGGTCCTGAAATGCAAATAATAGGCCATATTATTTCTCCCATTGCATGAATCGGAATGATACTTGACCAATGTGGCTCGTACAAGCCCATTAAATCCTTTGCTTCAACATAGCTACCAAATTGTCAAGAATGGCTTAAACCATTTCAACACTACATTTCTGGTTTATCCTGATAGTTCAGGCTGTTACCATTTAAATTTCCATCATAAAGTCACGAGTTCCAGTGCTAGGGATGCTCACACCTTAAAACCACCTGGCAGTGTTGAATTTAATGAATTCTGAGCTAGGCTCCTAGAGGACTATGAAAAGAAGAATTCCATTTAAAAATGGCATCTTCATCCAATAACTAGATAATTAGATTGTGCTTGCTGTCACCCATTAACAAGTCAACAGTGACAAAACTCCATGACTCTTGCACTTGGTCTGCTGAAAAGAGAAGACTTGATTGACCCAATGGGTTTCTTCCACCTGATGCTGTACTTCAACCGCAGATTTTAGGGAACATTGATCTTCATCTATCCAATTGTATTGAAAACCAAGGAAGGAACCAGCACATGCAACATACCTCATTTACTCCAGCTGAATGATAGCCACACATGGAATGTTTTGTTGCCAATCCAACTGTTGATCCATCAAAGTTCTTTCCTCTGGAAAAAAACAGCAAAAGTTATGAAGCAAATTGCAGCAAATATGTGGTGGGTGTCCCTTGAAAGAAGAATTAAGATATATTTTGCTGAGGTTTTCAGACTAAAGCAATTTGATTTCACACCTCCTACAAAGAATAACGGTTATCAAGCAAAAGCTGGCTGTTGTGTTAAATATCTGAAGCAAATAAATAAGGAGATTTTGGGCAAACTTCCTCTGCTCTTGAGATCCTTCACATGCTGAGACACAATGTTACATTACCAGCCACTGTCAGGTACCTTGCCTCTTAGTGACCATGGATCTAGGTCATGTGCACAGTGGTCAATTTCTATAGGATATCATATCAGAGCTGAATCACAATGAACCTGATATCCAAACACCTTTACTTTACGACAAGATCCTGAGATAACAATCTGAAGTCCAGAATAATTGAGGCAAACCATAGCATCTCAATGGGCACCGTGAGTGAGATAAGTGAACCCGTAACATCCTGTTCTGTAAATATTACGGTTGCACTTTGCACTGTTGTTACTTGTTGGGTAACGACAGTGTTCAGTTTACTGCTGGGTTTGGACTTTCTACCAATTTCTTGTTAATCAGCTTTATCTGAAGCATACCACACACCAACACGTTATAACCCCACACTAACTTCAAACAGTTTAGTGCGTTTTGTCAATACTTACGTGACAAACTGTGCATTGTCATGCTTCTTCTTTAAATTCTCACGCCATATGAGGAACCTATCAAGGGTGACATCTGGATTTGTGCTGACAGTAAATTTGTCTGACTGACTCCATACTTCTAAGCCCACTAATGCAATACGAGCATTTAATGTTCTATACAGCTGAAACAAAATAATAATAATAATAATCCTTGCATTTGATATAGCGCTTTTCACATCTTCTGGACGTCTCAAAGTGCTTCATAGAATATGCTGTAAAGTGAATTAACTGTATATTTGTGGGTGAAATGCAGCAGCCAATTACGCACCGCAGTGTCCCACAAACAGTCGTGGATTGAAATGATCAATTTATTGTTGTTTTTATGAGGGATTATTATCAGGCATGTGAAATAAGGAAACTTCCCCAAGGTTTCACCCTGCCGGTGGATCAGAATGAAGAATGTGCACTTGTAGCAGAAGCAGTTCTACGGTCAAATGCACACATCCACTATTTGTTAACATTTCCTACCCTTATTATGCCTCAAGCTCAGAAGCATAATCCCTGCTGCACAAAGTGACAGTATCTTTAGCTACATGTGACATCAGTGATACTAGTTACCTTTCTTAGAGAGATTACCAATTTTATAACTGTATGTGTTGATTGGCACATAGGTATTAAATAATATATCCCACCATCTGCAAATTTTACCCTGATATGGCCCAGGAAAATATTGGAAGGAAATGAAGGGATATTCTCTGCAGTAAATTTTATAATAATGGTAATAAGTGCACTACTAAATTTACTGACAAGTGCAAATAATGCTTGTGTAAAACCATTAAAAATAGCATTCAAAATTATCTTTTATTTTAAAAAAATAAAACAAATCTTACTTGATCCACGTGATTCACAATTTCAATCATGCGTTTTCGTACTTTCAGGAAATCTCTGTCATATTTTTGATACTGAAATGAAACAGAACAAGTGACCTTGTTGTATAAAATCTACAATTGTGAAAAAATGTTTGCGGGGAAAAAAANGCTGTTAGTAAAAAGTGAACTATCACTGGTTGTGTCTCCACCGTAATATTTAGCCAGCTTAAAATCCAGCTTCTCAGTTAACTTTTGGGTGTGCTTACCTCGGCGTTGTCGACAACTAGGTAAAGTTCCACATATTTGGTATTTCTGAAATCCTGTGGCAGTCTCTGAAATAGAGGGGACGGAAACTATTGAAACATTTGAAGCACAATTATTGATAATAATAGTGAGAATCAGTATGAAAACTTTTTAATTCAAATGTTCTACTTGTTGTCCTCGAGATACATTGGAAACATGGAAGAGAATGCTAGTGAACTAGGTACCTGGCCAAAAGTTTGATAAATTGCTGCGACCTTGGGCTCATTGTCATAAATTGTATAGTTCGATGTACCACATGTTCCCCGCTTAACCCTTAGGTGCTCCTCTCTGTACAAGGCATGTTCTCCAGCTTCAGCTCCTTCCAGTGGTTCAATTAAGTAGACCCGAGCCCCAGCCATGAGAACCCCCCTACAAAACAACACAGCACAATGTTATTAAAACCTCTCCGTTAGGATTGATTCACCCTACAAGCGAAGAGACGCCAGTCACACAGAAGTTCAGCTTGAAACAATATGGGTGTGGATCCCGACCAGTTGTCATTAGTTGTGTTGCAAGTATCAGTTTTACAAATCTATTATCAGTGACGTGTCTTCATCATGGGTTTGGATTCTAGTCTGAGAAGAACATTGTGCTCCGCTTCAATGCAAGCTCTCATCACCAGTTTACCGGACAGAATCTTTAACAGTCACAGCTACCAAACTGGTTTAATGAAAGGTGATCTGGAAATTCTCTGGAGATTAGCTCTCAGTTCAACAACATTTGATTGCATAGTTAAATACATCTTAAACCCAAAGGAATTATGGCTTCTTATTTTTACGGTAACAATTAATCACATCCCTGTCTTTACCACTATGCCCCTTTAACGAGGCTGCTTTATTGTGAATAAATACTTATGTTCAGATGGCTTCTATAGTGCACTGCTGGATGGTCTGGTAAAACTCCATAAAGTGGCAATCTTCCCTCAATGTTTGGGCTTTGTACAGATTGATCTTCCTTTCTCCAGTGATTTATTTGGATGCATTATCAGGCTTTGGGAGTGACCAGCAACATGTCAAGGGCAGACATATCACAGCACTTGTAAACAAAGCTAAACCACCTTCTGCTTCAACGTGGAATGTTTAAGTGTCAGTCTTTTCCAACTGGAATGTCAAGGCTTTGAGTAAAGTGCTGCCTGTCTGATGAATGGACCTGCCACCACTGGCCATGGTCTGATCAGATACAACGGTGGCATTCCTCCACCTATCGACCGGCCGAAGCAGGTATAACACAATCATTCCAAGGAAACCCAATCTGGGCAGTGAAGATAATCAGAGATGTCCACATCTATTCACACTATTGCACTTTACTGTCTAAATTCATCAATGAAGTATAAAAGGGTGCAGAATTGCCAATAAAAAGATAAACAGAAAGAAAGAAAGAAGTAAGTACTGCATTGTACCTGAGTCCAGAGCAGGTGCTCATACTGACAGAAGAGTCATTAACTCCATCAATGATGCCATGGTAATAGCAGTGATCCTGTGACAAGCAGTTACAATAATGATTCAACCGAAAACATCAGCAGAATAATGAAACATTTTAAATCAAGCAAATTTGTATTAATAAGTACTCAGTTTGTCACTATGTTTACTAAGCAGAGTTGTACCTTGAGCTGAGGTGTCTCTGTCACCTCAGTTCCATTTTCAGTGTATCGTGTTTCAGAGTACCATTTGCCCAGCAGACCCCTGTAAGATACAATGTGTGCATTGTTAGTCACTGTACTCATTCATATCAACCTAAACAGAATCGATCTGACAGATTGAAGGTGCATAGCAGTAGATAAATAAGGATGAAATCAATGCTTGGTGATACCAAGCATATAATTCTGTCATTCTCCATCAGGAAAATATGAATGGGAATGTGCTGGGAAGTCGCTTTCACCGTGAACTGCTGGACTGTATATCCTGCATCGAGAATGACAAAGATGTGCTTCAGAAATGTAGTCAGCTCGATTGATATATTTTTGGTTGGACCTTGGGTCATACAGTTGCAGGTTCAGACCTTGGTTTGTGTTGAGCCAGCTGATTTCAACAAGGTAACAGTTAGCCTCAATGCCACTGGGACAAGAATCCACCAGGATTCCCATATCTAATTGCTATCTGGAGGCCCCCATGAAAGGTATGTGTGTGTAGCTGTCAGGTGAGGACAGGATCAAGCCCAGCTGCTTTTCCCACCCAGGGTCAAACAGACTGCTAAAATTCACTGTCAAGACTCCCACATGAATAATAGCCACTTGAGCGAGCTACCAGAAGGTGAGTGGCATCTGTGTAACTGTATCCTAATAGGCAGGCAAAGGAGTCAAATGCTTTCAGTAGAGGAGGAGTGAGTGTTACAAGTGTTCAGAGGGAATCATTCAGAGAAAAAAAATTCAGAGAAAACAAAAAGGCCAAAACTTTACACTTAGTCACCACACATTTCTTGAGCTTCACATGTTTTAGAGAGCCACTCTCTCTGTTTAGGATGCCAACAAGTTCAAGTGTCTTATTGGGTGTGATACTAATTATTTTGGATTTGTTTTGTTCTCGTTTCTGGTTCTGAGCTCTCCTCTGCTGCCTACCACACTAACAATCCTGCACTGCCAGGCTTCCTGCTTCTGGGCCTCTCCCAGAACCTCACTACAGTCAGGCATCAGTAGCTATTGGAGACAGAACTGAGTTCACAAGGCCTCTGACCTTTGCTTCCTGTCTCTGAGGAAATGCTTCATTGCCCTCAGCACCTCTGCTGATGGCATGGGTGAGGTCTGGGAATCACAGTGCTGTGAACTACCATTGAGACCGCACCATTCCCACAACACATACCAATACACTTGTGGTTATCATTCATTGTGTGTTGGCTGTAGCCACAGCTTCATTGCACAGATAGAATTGGATTTATCATATGCCCAATAAAAATGAGCAAACATGGCATGATAACCCCCAGTGTGTCATCAGGCCACCGCCAGCTGCAGGTTTTATAATAAATTATATCACTGAAGTCTATGAATAGCATGGCTTTCAGATGCAAGTTTCGGTACATAAAATCAAACTCTTTAAGCATTTAAAAACACGGGTATTAGATAGATCACAGCAGGGTCAGATTCTCTCAGACTCTTCAGTTAGATTGAATTTCTGGCTTGCAAGTGATGGCACTGTCCCTTTAAATCAGCAAAATACAATACAATACAATTTACATTTATGTAGTATTGGGAGAACATTGCAAAATGCTTTACACAATCAGCTGGGCACTTGAGCTTGGGGGTGGGGGGGGAGCTGAAGAGAGTGGTGGGGGAAGGGGGTGGGGAAGGATACTTGATCAAAGAGGTTAGTCTTAAGACAGGCTTTAAAAATCGGGAAAGAGCACAGGGATTAGTCGAAGACTCTGGGTTGAAATTCCAGCAAATAGGGGCATAATGGCTAAATGTTTGCTCACAGATGTTGGGGCGGATCAGGTAGGGACATGAGCCAAGCCAATGTTCACTGAATGAGGAAGTGGCTGGGTTGATAGGTTGAAGAGGTCACAGTGGTAGGGTGGGGCAAGCCGTGGAGGCATTTGAATATGAGAACAATAAAGCAGAAAGTGCTTTTTTATTTCAAGACAGACATCTTACTAGTGAAAGAACTCACTGTATAATTTAATGCTGTTAAAAGAGGAAAGCCCACACTTACTTGTTCTTTTCCAAGTGCACAATGGTTTCATTTCCTTCCAGATTTAGAGAATATGAGACCTTTTCTGGATAGACAATCTAAAATTGTGAAAACACAAATGAATTCTTATTATAATGATGGCTAATTAATAATTTTTAAAAACTAAATTACCGTTTTATGCCACAGAAATTTACACCTCCAAACCTTTTTTCAATTTCTTCATTATTTCTGAAAGTCGAGACATTCTACAATAATTTGAGCAAGAGACATCTCATTGCTCTATTCTGGATTCGTCAGACTGGTTGGTTCACCCTGGATTCAGTCCAATAGAACTATCACTGACTGTGATCCATGTTTGCCTGTTCCTACTTAATCCCCAGGTTAAGATGTGCATGTTGTATCTCTAACCTGAAGATGTTATTATAATATAATAGTATTATAATAACACCCTATTATTGTTATTATAATAAGTTCAGGGAATTAGATTGTTTTCTATGACTTTTTTAAAAAAAGGAATAATATTGAAATGTTAAATGTTGCGAGCAGCAAGTGAGCTCCAATTGTACCTCACCAGCCAAACCACATTTGACATTCAGACATGTCAAGAAAAAAAAACAATAATAAAATTGGTCACTTCAATCCACGACTGTTTGTGGGACACTGCAATTGGCTGCCGGGTTTCGTCCACAAATATACATTCAATTTACTTTACAGTACAGTCTGTGAATGTCTAGAAGATGTGAAAAGCACCATATCAAATGCAAGGATTATTATTATATATTATGTTTGGCTAATCCAATAGTTCCTCTGTTCAGGACTAACTTGAGTAATCACCACATTATTATATTTAAGCAAAACTGTGCAATCCCTTATGTACATAGTGCCACTCTCTTAACAGTACATTGTGTTCCTACCTCTGAGGAGGAGAGCGCCCTTTTCTCAGGACAATATCCAGCTTGCGAGGTTTCACAATTTCATATCTCTCTACTTCAGGAAGCTGATTAGACCAGGTGTCACATCCAACTGCAGGGAAACCAAAACAATAAGTAGACAGAACTTTACTTAACAATACTGCAACACTAGCATCATTGAGGTGAGAAGTAATGGCCAAATCAAATTCAAAGAATCAATTGCCACATAGGCCAAACAGCACTGATAAACAGTTCAAGACATCTTAATTTTAATTAAATTAATTAAAGTCAATCCACAACTGCAGGGCACTGCTGTGCACAATTGGCTGCTGTGTTTTGCCCACAAAACATACAGTCAATCTACTTTACTGTATATATATATATACTGTGAAGTGCTTTGAGATGGGATATCAAATTATCATTATCTTTATGTTCTTAATGTCACTTTGACTCAATGGACACCACATAGCAACAAATTGCAGTTATACATCACATCTCACACAGGGTATCATCACTTATTATAAGGACTTCGGAATAAAATATGATTGCAACATTTTGTATTGACTTTTTTTTGAATATATTTGGAAAGGTGGAGTTTTGCTGAAATGATTACAACGCTTCAGTGCAGTTATTATACAATAATAATCCTTGCATTTGATTTAGTGCTTGTCACATCTTCTAGACGTCTCAAAGTGCTTCATAGAATATACTGTAAAGTGCTCTAACCACTCGCTTCTCAAGCGAGAGACCTGGGTTCAATTCCCGGCAGGGCAAAACCTTGGGCAAGTTTCCTTACTCCACCCGCCTAATAATACGTCAAGAAAAAAAAAACAATAATAATTTTTTCACTTCAATCCACGACTGTTTGTGGGACACTGCTGTGCACAATTTGGCTGCCACATTTTGCTCACAGTATATTCTGTGAAGCGCATTGAGACGTCGAGAAGACGTGAAAAGCGTTAGATCAAATGCAAGGATTATTTTTATTATTATATAATAGCTGCGCTGAAGCATTGTAACCCTTTCAGCCAAACTCCACCTTTCCAAATAATATTCCAAAAATATAATAGTTGAAGCAAATGCATCAGGTTCTGCAGAACTCGCAGCCTCATGTCAAGGAGTAGTAAAATCACCTGTGCTGAGAGGTTTGCGGAAACGGTAACAATATATAAAAGGTTTCTGAAGGTGCTATCCTCGTCAGGGTTTTATACCTTGCACTGGCTGGTAAGGGGTTTAAGGCAGTAACTTACTGGCATATTCCATCCTCCGCATTCCCAATCTCAACTGAAAACCAATCATTCTGACATACACCCACACAACACCCACACACACACACACACACAGCGCAGCAGATCAACAGATCCCCTATCTTAACCTTTAAGGCACGACAAAGTCTGTGGGTCTGACAATACTTTGTGAATACAGAACATGCGATCAAGCCGACAGATCTTTTCCTCCCACCAAAACTTTCCAAACAGTTTCAGCAGGACACAAGTCCCTGGTATTTCAAAACCAGCAGCAGCCACGTGTAGTCACAGACTGTCGAGCAAAACCACTGTCCATCTCTTATGTTAAAGGCAAAATTAGCTGCCAACCACTTCTTCAAGTAACTGGTTTATTCCTAGAAACCCCCCCCTCCCACCCCCGAAGCACTGGTCTCACAGAGGTCTAGAGTTGCGAATAGGATGCTACAATTTCAGGGTTAGGGGATGGAGCTGCAAACCAGGGTTTATACCCCGCACTGGCTGGTAAGGCAGTAATCTTACTTTTGCATTTATTCCACCCGCCGACACGAGGAACGAGGCGAGAATTGCAAACTTACCAAATGTTGTTGTGCATATGATAAATACATAGAAGTTAACGGGAATCCAGTGCATTGTCGGCTCAACGGTACAGAGCGTCCGGTGGAGCTCAGAGTGTGAAACCAGCTTTGCTGAGAGGCGCTCAGAGCCTTTGGCAAACCCCCCAAACCCTCCCAAACCCCCCAAACCCCGCCTCACTGCGCTATCATTGGCTTCCAGGCTGCGGGATCGCTGCTCAGTGAGTCATTGCTGACTCAGAAATGACCGGTTGCACATTTTCGTAAAAAAACTGAAGTGGGGTGTGTGGGGGTGGAGAGAGAGAGAGAGTGTTAATCTGCAACAATTTCATCTCTGGGCGATCGCAACAATAAAAAAAAGACTGCACAGTGATCGCTGTGCGCACAGTTTTGAGTGAGTGCGGGTCAGTCTCTGGAAGTCAAATGGGTGAGTCAGCGGTGATGCGTTGCTGCGCCCATCCTATGTGAGCATTCCCTAAAGCTGAGTGTCACAGAAACGTTGGCGGATTTTTTTTTACTAACCTTTCCAATTAATGTACTTAATTCCCAGACAGGTCACACACACACACACACTGGGCGCAGTACAGTTACGACCGCGATGAGTCTGTTTTCCAGGTTATTTATTGACGCAGAGACAGTGAGGCAACCACAGAGGTGACTTTTCTATCTGTACGTTCCCATGCGACGTGTTGCCACAATAACTCCCCCCCCCCCCCCCCGCCCCCCAATTATATTTTAGAAAGTCGTAATGTGCAAAAAGTCGATGCAGGTGTGCAAAAAGACATCCATTGATGAGTGGTGGTCCAAATGAGGGCATAGCCTTTGGAATGGACACCTGCACTTTTGGCGCTTCCAAATAATAATAACAATAATCCTTGAATTTGATATAGCGCCTTATTGTTGAGATGTCTCAAAGTGCTTTAACAACAAGACTACATTTGTATAGCGCCTTTCACGTCGAGAGAACGTCCCAAGGCGCTGGACAGTGTACAGCATTTCAGACCTGAGCTGGGGTCGGGGGGGTGGCCGATGGCTTGGTCGATGAGGAGGATCTTGAGGCGGGACTTGGAGGCTAAGGAGGGGGCGAGGTGGAGTGATTGGGGGATAGAATTCCAGAGGTTGGGGGCAGAGTGGCTGAAGGCTCTCCCGCCAATGGTGGGGCGGGTGGGTCAGGGGATGTGGAGCAGCCAGAGCAGGCTGAGCGGAGGGATCAGACGGATTGGTAGGGGCAGTTGCGCACAGCAGTGTCCCACAAACAGCAAAGCTGTAAGTGACCAATTTTATTTGGGGGATTGTTGCCAGGACACCGGGAGAAACTCCTCTTTTCGAATAATGCCACAGGATCTTTAACATCCACCTGAACAAGCAGAGGGGACCTCAGTTTAATGTCTCTTCCGAAGGATGCCACCTCCAACAATGCAACATATCCCCAGCACTGCATTGGAGTGTTATCTTAAACTATGTGACTCCAAGTCTCCAAGAGATTATTATCAGCTATCACAAAACTGCATCTGTTGAAACTGTCAAAATACATATCCCACATTCCAGCATACCTGAACTTAGCTGAAGGTTAAGCCTGTAAAAATAGTAATACCATTCTCCTCATCTACCAATTCCCCATTCGGGGGTGTTCTTTGCCTCTTTTCCCAATTCTTCTGCCCAGTGAATCCCCTTCCTCACCACACAGAAACAGAATGGCAGGGATCACTTCACTCATTGGAAACGATTGCAGGTGTAAAGCGCAGATGTTTATAATCTCCCCAATTTCTTTTTAACCACGTGCTAAGAAAATTATTGGACCCTCATATGCTTGGGTCAGGATTCCTGATTGTTCTCATTCTAGGTCAGTGAGGCCAATTATCACTCCCACTAGGTCGACATCAATTAATTTAGCACAGATCGGAGTTTGAAACTATAACTTTAGCAACCTGTGCGGCTCAGTTACACACTGGACCGAGCCCTACTGGAGGGATCGCTCTGAACCTTGCTATGGGAACAATTGGCTCAATCGTATTGAGAACACTTGCACCCTCAAGGGGAAGCAGTCAGACATACAGCTAAATCTTCCTTTGTTGTCCAGAAACGGTTCATTTATGTTCCTTCTAAAAATGGTTATTGTACCAGGTTAAAAAGATTAGCAAATGATAAAACTTTAATGTGCTACTTTAATTTAGTGTGAAATACTTTTAACTACTTAACTCAAACAGATTGTTTTAAAACACCCAAATATGCCTTTCGCTGCTTCTGTTTCCTGTTCCTTGTTGGTCATTTCTGCTAAATTGAATGACATCACTATTCCTTTACCCTCGCTTCCTGGCTAAATACAAATCACTTGAACAAACTATGACTTAGAAAAACTCATGTCATGCAAAATCACTGACTGTATCCTCTGCGATCTAATTTTTATTTCCTCTCGTGAGGCTGACTGTACTTGTGATAAATTAATGCTTGCCTATTCCACATCCCATTTTCCTATCCCAATGGCATAATTGTGATAATGTTGCCTTAACAGTGAAATATGGAGTACTGTAGCTCAGTGTTTAGAGCGTTTGTCTCGCAAGCGCGAGATCTGGGTTCGATTCCCAGCAGAGCAAAATGTTGGACTTCCAAAAGTTTCTTTACTCCACACGCCTCTGTTTACCTAGCAGTAAGTAGGAACCCGGTTGTTAGTCAATTGGCGGATCGCTTTTCTGGGGGTAATAATTCCTTCAAAAGAATAAATTGGTCACTTCAATCAACGATTGTTTGTGGGACACTGCAGGTCATTCAGAACTCTGCAGCTCGTGTACTGTCCCGCACCAGGCTTCGGGACCACATCACTCCCACCCTCGCTCGCCTCCACTGGCTCCCCATCCCCCAGAGGATCGATTTCAAGATCCTCATCCTCACCTACAAGGCCATTCACGGCCTCGCTCCCTCCTACCTCTCTGACCTACTATCCCCCTAACTACCTGCCCGTACCCTCCGTTCCTCTGGCTCCGGTCTGCTCCACATCCTCCGCCCCAACCGCCCTACCATCGGTGGCCGGGCCTTCAGCCTCTCAGTCCTGAGGCTCTGGAACTCTATCCCCCAGTGCCTTCGCCGCCTCCTCCCTTTCCTCCTTCAAGGCCGGTCTCAAGACCTTTCTCTTTGACCGTGCCTTCAGCTCCCCTCTCGATTCTTTACCCCCTCCTCGCTCCCTCCCTTCCCTCCCCTCACCCTAACCATTTCCCCCCTGCTCGGGTCCTGACCCAACTGTCCAGCGCCTTGGGACGTCCTCCTGACGTGAAAGGCGCTCTATAAATGGAATCTTGTTGTTGTTGTTGTTGTGTGCAATTGGCTGCTGCTTCCCCCCCACCAAATATAGTCTATTCACTTACTGTATATTCTGTGAAGCATTTTTAGAGACATCTCGAAGATGTGATGAGGCACTATATCAAATGCAAGGATTATTATTATTGTACATTTCCTTCAAGGCAGGTTGGGATCTCATTTTTGTTGAGGGGGAAACATACTTACAATTGTACCACAACATACAAAAAAAATCAATAAACATCTACACATGAAGCTAACTATTTCTCTACCTGCTTGTGTGTGAGAGGCACATCAAAGAAGAAAGCTGTTCTCTATATTGGTGGCTCAAGTGTTGCACAGTTCAAACAGCACTCAACAGGCAAGTCAGGGATACTACAAAGGGCAGTGTGATACCAATCCCAGTGTTCACACCATTAGCGCCACGGGACACCGGCTGCTGAAACAGAAGCTGATAATGTGCAGCAGGTCAATCAGCATTTGAAAGAATGATAGCGATAATTACTGGCTGCTGGTCAGATTGTTCAGCAGGGACCCTTGAAACCTCAAAGAACATTTGTGCCCTCAGGGAGATAGTGATAAGGCGGGGACAAGTTTAATACTGTTCTCATACTAGTCTTCTTCCCCTTTTCACAGTATTTTAAAGTTGGTCACGTAATAGGACAAGTTATTTTAAGCGCTCTGAGACACTACCCCACCTGAAGGGCACTATATAAATGCAAGCTGTTATTGTTTTCAATGCTTGTTTCATTGTTTCAATGCTTTCATTTATTTTCAAAATAAGATGATTATTGCAGTATAGAGAAACAGATTTGATTTGGGTGTTTGAGAGACCAATTACAATTGTATGTAATTGTGCATACTTCTATATCTTATGGAATGTTAGTTTCCTGATCAATGATAACTTTGTTTTCTTCTTGATGGTAGTGATAAGGAATTCCAGGATTATTACTTTTCCCTTTGCTTTACCTCTGTTTACCCGAGTTGGGCTATGACTGAGCTGTTTTTGCGATCTTACAATGTCTTTGGTTGCTGCTGGTGATGCCATTGAAATCTGTAAGCGCAGTGGTAGAATTACTATCCTTTGTTGGCTGCAGAAAAAACTAGTGTAATATCTGATGTCTGCTCAGTAAATATTTGCATAAGGGAAAAGAAACACTTCATTTTGAGGAAAAAGAGTTGAACTTTGAGCAGCATGAAAATCATCAGGAATATAATAATCCTTGAATTTGATATTGCACTTTATTATGTTGTAGAGACATTTCAAAGCACTTCAACAGAATGTATTGTAAAGTGGATTGACTGTGTATTTTGTGGGCGAAACAAACCCCCTTCCTTCACCCACCCTTTAGGAAACGCATGCTTTACTAATTCTAATGCACATTAAAATCAGCAAAAGGATTTTAAGTTCAAATAAGAACAGAATCTTCAATTCATATTGTAAATGGAGCCCAGCTTTCATGGTAATACATTCTATATTTTTAGAAATGTTTGGTTCTTACAAGTCAAAATGGACAAAGTGAGTTTCCTTTAGATACTGAACATTTCGCTCAGGAACTAGTCAATTCACTTCACAGTATATTCCGTGAAGCGCTTTGAGATGTCTCAAAGACATGATAAGGTGCTATTTTAAAATGCAAGGATTATGTAGCGTGCAAATGCACACTCATGAATTGAAAGGTGTTCTGTAGTAGTCAGGTCTATCTTTATTCCCTCCCCAAAATGAACTTGTGGACTTTCGGTGACTACACAGCATGGTTCAAATTATCTGATCTTTACAAATTACTAAGAGGTTCCAAATTGAATAATAATTGCCTCAGAAAATTATGTGGAATGTTTATGTGTCAATACTAGTTTGCGAAAACTGTACGATTCATTCGACTGGCTTGGTCTCTGTGGCTTGGGTCACTCTCAGATTGATGAGACAAGTCAACAGTGAATGGCTGTAAAGATTCTAAGATACAGGAATGACTTCAAGTTCCAACCCAGGGTATAGTTGATGTCCAAATCATAAATCAATAATAAATGGCTGATCTAACTCGGAAACGAAGAGTGATGAGAATAGGACTTGAAACACTCTGGAGGATAGGATAGAAACACAACACTGAGCAGAGTAACTGTTGCAAGGAAACTTACTGTACATCAGATTTTGAATATACCTGCCCTTGGGAGTATCTGGGACTGTGGTTTAAAGCAAAAAAAAAGCTCAGATTTCAGGGAAATAATTGCATTTTCAGACAATTCATAGAACTGGCAGGTGAGGGTGAATGCATCAAAAACTAAAAAAAAGTAAACATTACAAACATTGCAAATGAGTCACATAAATATTAGATTTATCTTGTTTAAAATTACTACTCAAGCAACTTTTTTTTGATTTGGGATTAAACAGGGTTTTGGTTTCAGATGAAAAACAGCAATGTATCTGGTTGGAAAAATTAAGCCAACTTCAAATTTGTCTTAAATTATATATTTAGTCTATTCATTAAGACTATTTATATTCAACTGATTTTAATTCTTCAGAGTAAATGAGTCTCAGCTTTTGCATGGTACACATGTAGATTTCAATTATTCACTGCATTAATAAATTCAGTTAATTAAGAGAAAATAAACTTTACTTATTCATTGATTGGAGAACATCGCCACCCAATGGATGTAAAGTTATTTAAAAGATTTTCACAACCGTTTCTTTTAAACGCTTAAAGATGTATGTGAGATTGCCCTGTAACAAGATTACATTTGTATAGCGCTTTTCACGTCGGGAGGACGTCCCAAGGAACCGGACAGTGTACAGCATTTCAGATCCAAGCTGGTGGCATAGGATAAGAAATTCTCCCAAGAACAAGGGCTAGGATGCAGTCTGTGTTGATCTTCCATGTTGCGCAGTCCACATTCTTGCTGTAATACACATCATTGTATCTCATCCAACTCTGAATTCCCAACTTTTGGTTGGGTTTGCAGAACAAACTAGACTCCTTGCCAGTCAGAAGTGGGCAGGTATACCACTGCTATCGCCTCACCTCCAGTCTGGAGACTTCCTTATGGCTACTATCAATTGAGCAACAACAGCTTGAAAGAAAGCTGATTCCCCCTCCACCCCCTCCCCAGATGTACACCACGAAAGGTGTATTGAATTAATATAAAAGCCAGTAACATTGAAGTTGGAATTGTAGCAGGTAACCTTCCATCACATCTGGGACTTGGGTTTAAACCTATTAGAACTGTTGTACTCGTCTATTTTGTCTGGTAAATTAATCATATGAGCTCCTGGGAAATTCTGCAGCAGTAATCATGCACAGATATATACTTTTGAAAAAGAGTGTTTAAGAATCAATATGTTTCATACTGAAGCGTTTAATAGATTACTCAGTTATACTAAAAATAAAGAAGTGTATATACAAAGTGAAATTATTGAAGGCACTGTGACCTTAAATTAATTATTCTAGGCATTTGAAAAGCATACCCCTCTATTCACACATTCCTGCACTCAACCTAACACAGAATACAAAAGCATTTTCCCTCATACCATCTTTCTCTCAAAGCTCATCTTAAATTGAAAGTAGAACCACCTGGTTCACCTGTACAAGTGCTATCGATGCCGCTCCTGACTCAGCCACTAGGTGCACTGTATTGGTATGGATGGGATCCCTTTCCTTGCTGATGTTCACTCTCTCTTCCATCCCTGTATCCTGCCAATCTGACATCACCAGTGCAGTCTGACAAAAAGGTGAGTGTGGAAAGAGAATTTGGATACAAACATAAGCAGAGGTTTGGGTACACACCAGTTTCCATTACACTGAGATGATCTAACACAAAAATAACAACACAAAGTCTTTTTCTTCCCTCCCACTCACAGCTGCAAACTATCAGAGTATTTTAACATACAAGATCTTAACAAAAAGTTGAAGTAAACTGGTTATATATTTGTAAAGTTACATTGGAAATGTACAACAAACTTTTATTAGTTTCAATTATTATACCCAGGAAATACAACTGATTATTTATCATTCTTAGTCTTTTAACAGTGATTGATTAGATCTAGGACATGCTGTTTCTCTGGTCTTATTGAGCAGATAAAGGGGCTCTGGAAACTGTTCCTTGCTGACCCTGTGGTTTACTCCGTTCTGCAGACATGCGTTCCAGGCGTTCAGTGTAGAACCCATTGAAATCTAACCTGCAAAGTGCAAATATAAAGGTTTGTCAAAATCATACAATCTAAATAATAAAAATAATTCTTACATTTGACATAGTGCCTTTCACCCCGAGTGGCCATCTCAAAGCATTTACAGGATGCATTGTAAATTGTAGTGACTGTCACTTTGTTGCTGATTATAGCAGCCAATTTCTACTCAGCAATGTCCCACAAACAGCCATGAAGTGAGTGACCAATTTTATTTGGGAGGGCACCAGGAGAAACTACCTTCTCTTTTCAAATACTGCCAAAGGTTCTTTAAAACATCCACCTGAACAGCCAGACCTTGGCTTTCATGTCTGAACCGAAGGACAGAGAAGGAAGGCAAACAACATTGGCATGTACTACAATTGCCAAAGGATTAAGAATGCTCTAAGTAGCCTCAATTTAGTAGTGGGTGGAGCTGCAGCTAATGTTACCAAGAGTTTGCTGACTTGAATCACAGTCTGTGCTGAATTTGTTGAATGGGGAGTCGAAATTAACCCTCTCATGGTTAAGGAGGGTAAAATCAGCTGGCTCCAGTCCCTCTTGAGCACCCTCTACTGGTAGTATGTATATTTGGCAGGTGAGGAGAGGTCAGGCTCTGCTTTGATGCTCTCAACAGTTGAGTGGCCTACAGATAGAGACTCACTGCCAAGACTGCACACGAACAGGAGCCACTTTGGAGGGGTAGCATAGGGCAACCAGTGCCTATGGAACCACTCCTCAACTAGAACAGGCTGTGGACCAGAGCAAAGGCAGATTGCCAATTGGGAAAATAAATTAAAAAATAATTGGACACTAAAATTTAAAAAAATTTCAAGTACCCGATAAAAATAACACCAAGATTGTACTCTGCACGATAAGTACTCCATCAAGTACGGCTTGATAAATAATTGTGGCTAAATTTTTTTTGTGAAAAAAGTATTAAAAGCACTTTTTACTGAAGGATGGTGGGATGGAAATGCAATGTGCCTGGCGCTTAACCAAAATGTCACAGCTTCAAGGCAGAGTAGTGTCACAATAGACAAATTTATTTATCTGTTGCCTGTGCTATTAGATGTTAGAGATACTTCACAAGTACGGGCAGATATTCATCCTCTTGTCATGCACTCATCAAAAGAGAGATTGAGGTCAAATAGGTGACAATTTCTAAGGGAAATGCATCAAGCTGATCCAGAAGTTCTCAGGTCTTGATGCATTATAGTCACAAAACAAAGACTTGTCATGGGGCTTGGACTTACAACCTTCTGGATCAGAGTGGTAACAACTGAGCTAGACTGGGGGTGGAGTTGGGGTTGAAAAGAATGCTGATAGCATTATACCACTAAAAAGTACACAAATACATAGGAGTTCTGGGTTTGGCAAGCATGAAATGTCACATTACATGAATAACATACCTGTATATTATGTTGATCATACTGTGCTCGCAATCATTTGTACTTGAAATGCTCAGTTTGTCCAGCAGGTCAAGTAGGTTGGAGGAAAAGTTGTTGTCAAATGTATTGATGGTGCTATCGAATCCAGAGGTAGAATGTAGTACATCAATACGTTCTGCCACATTCTGCAAAAACAAGAAATGGTCTTAGAAACTGGGATGAAACAAAGAAGCAACTCTCATTCCCAGGGAGTATTCTCATTTGAATTAGGATTTAGTGAATCCTTAACTTGTGGTTTGAATTCAGATTGAATTCAAGAACAACAAGAATCAACTTATGAGAACTAGAACTGCAGAGACTTTCCCTTTTGGAACATGCTCACCGAAATGAGGGTTGACAATACTGGGGAATGGAAACCATTTTCTTTCGTGGGAATCTAAGATTCTGTAGACTTATCCTTGAGTACTGGAAACCAATGTGCTTACCCACAGAGCAAACACCTCATAAACAAACCAGTATTATAAGGCAGGACCTTATAATGGGGTTCTACTGTACTGAAATTTTTGTAATCTTATCTTCCACATGTTCTAAAATCCAAAATACTTTCATCGTCGGTAGTTCGTTAAATCTCAGTAAGATACCTCGGACATGGTAACCTTATTACTGATTCTCTTCTTTTCAGTCTCTTCAGTACATTCTGACTGGGTTGGTGGCTTCTTCATCGTCCCGTGAGTCATCTCACTGTCAATCTTTATGTTCTGAGTAAACGTCTAAGAACAGAAGAAGCAAATCCAAAACTGTAATCTGCAGTGCTTTGGAAGTATGAGGAGGGATAAGGCCACAATGATGCTTATTATAAAAACATCTACAAGTTAGTCCATTTCTCTCTACCTTTTCTACCATTCCTATCCAGGATAACGTGGATCTGGGAAGAAGCAATTGGAAGGAATTTAAAAGGGAAGGAAGGTAGGACAAATAACCAAAGTCATACCTGCATACAATTGGTAAACATAACGCATAAGGACATCAACTTTGAGAAGATCTTGAGAAGCACCATGTTGGTTAACATGCAGTCCTTCATACAGTTGTCCAGAAAGCTGGTGTGATGGCTCAGGACTTCATCTATGTTGGATGCCTAATTCAAATGTAATAGAGCAATAAGTTACAGAAAGTTGTCATTCAACTCATCAGTGTCATATCTAACATTTTCAGCCTGAAACTTCGGCCAAGGTTTAGACAACAAACTATTGTAAAACAGAGAACTTCCATTGAGCAAGAGGACGGCCAAGGTAAGTCTACAGCAACTTAAATCACCCAAGAAAGGAAGCCCAATATCAAGTACTATTACTGAGCAGAGCACCTGCAGAGAATCCTTACAAGGAATACGACTTTTTCTGAAAAACCTCAGCAGAGATAGTGTATGGAAGTTAGTGCAATTCTGCTGGTAGTTCTGCATGGACGGGGAGGGTGGGGGGGAGGGGGGGGTATCCAGCTCTCTATCCAATGGAGCAGCTTCACCTGTGCTGAATTGGTAAACATTCTAAAGACCGGACTAAAAAGATATTATTAAAAGAAAAGTGATTATACCTCTTAAGATTTTAAAGTTCCAGCATATAGTGTAATCTCTCCCTTACTAAGCTTCATCTTTCTTAATTGTAAAATTTTAAATAAATCGCTAAAAAGGTCAAAATCAACCATGTAGCTAACTGGAAGACTTTGAAGTATTTGTGCACATGACAAATTCTGCATATTGAAAGGGCTGGTATTAGAAAAAGCCTGGATGATAAATTATGCATTAGAAAAATAAATTAATTTGGTCTTTTTCTAATGTAGAATTGTAATTGCTTATGTGATTCCATTCAGGTTTATTAGCATTGTGGTGAACAGATTTCAGTGAACCTTGGTTGCAAGTGCAAAGAATAAGTTACTGGGGTTTACTGTTCACGTTAATGTAAAGTCCAATTCTTCTGGAGACATCCAGGGGTATTCCTTTTTATGTTTAAATATCAGAGCTGTAATCTTGTCCTTAAATGTTTTAAGAAACAGCTGCAACATGCGAGAGAAAATCTGGTAAATGGACATTTTGATTTAATTACCTGTCTCTACAGTAATGTCTTCCACATTTAGGATAGGATTCCTTTGCAATTTTTCCATAAATGCCAATGGTTTATGTGAGGGCAATAAGTAGGGCAAAAACAAAACATATTCAGGGCATTCATTAAAGCTAAATGCTTTTAACAGCAGGTAATTTATATCTGCTTAATGTAATTTAGCCCATGATTATAATTGAAAAGAAATGCTATGCTAATCTCTTCCATATTGTGCAGAGTTGCACAGCGCCAAGTAATGGCCATGTTAGTATTCTACACGAGTCTGGGAGATATTAAGGACAAAGAATTTCTCTTGCTACTAAGGGTACCTCTTAGATTATGCGTTCTTAGAATAGGACTTTATACACTTTCCTCAACTTAATTCTCTTTAAGTTATAAGACTTAGTGCATTTAAATAGCTAATAGCAAAATGCAGAGCATCTTTTATAGATTTATAGTTTCCCTCCCTCTTAAAAATGCAGTTCTCCATTACTTACGGATTTGAGATTATTTTCCATGATGTGCCAAGTTGGCTCCATAACCTCAAACATCATATAATACTGAATGTTCTGCACAAAGTTCAGCATTCGCTGTCTCAAAGTAAAGGCAGCTGCAAACCTAAAGAACAGACATCAGTTACTTATGTGTTAGCATGAACAACAACATGCAATATATAGCACCCTTCACATGGGGTAGTGCCCCAGCGAGCTTGACAGTGAACTATCAGAATTCTAAAACATAGCTTTGGGGAAAGAAGCAAGAAGGAAAATGGATTTCTCTGCATTTCCCCATGACACAATGCCTTGGAAGAATATACACCGTGTTCTTAGGTTTCAAAGCAGAGAAGGAAAGGGTGAAACAGAGAGAATTTGGGAGAGTTCCAGAGGGTAGGAGAAAGTGACTAAAGGTTTGTCCAACGTGGAAGATGGATCAAGAGCAAATTACATTTGTATAGTACATTTCACGTCAGGAGGACGTCCCAAGGAAGGATGAGAGACATGAAGTTGGCTGCATTCATAAAAACAATAATAAAAACAATAATAAAATTGGTCATTTTCAATCTACGACTGTTTGTGGGACATTGCTGTGCGCAATTGGCTGCCGTGTTCGCCCACAAATATACAGTCAATTCACTTTACAGTGTGTTCTGTGAAGCGCTTTGGGACGTCCTCCCGACGTGAAAAGCGCTATATCAAATGCAAGGATTATTATTATTATTATTATTATTATTATTATTATTCAATGGAGTAGAGTGTGACCAGGGTAGTAGAATCTTAGGAGATCGCAGAGATAGATAGAATGGTGCAAGGCTATAGAAACATTTGAAAGTGAAAATGAGGACCTTAACATTGATTTATTGGGGAATAGGGAGTCAATGGAGCCAGAGAGGATAGTGGTGATTGGAACCTGGTGCAGGAAAGGATATGGACAGCAGAGTTCTGGTGTGACAGTAAATATCTCAACCAGATAGTGACAGATTAAATAGTTAATTATTGGTACCTATGCGATGTGAAGTATTTGGCTTAAGGCTTAAAAGATTGCAGATGCATTGATCGAGTTCATTGAACATTTTGGGAAGGCAGACACCACAACTTAGAACACATTGCATCAAAGGAATTTTCTTGAAAGGAGTGCAGTTTTTAATGTCGGTGTTGATGTTAAATCATCTAGAAGCCATTTGTAATGTTTAAAATTACTGATTGTATGCAATACCATAAATATCAAATGATTAATAAAATCCACAAATACCATTCAATCATGTAGTGCATTCAAACGTAGGGTTCTTTACAATGAACTTACCTGTGTTCTGCCAGTCTCCTGCAGCTTTTATACATTTTATTATACATGATATTTAGACCAAAGGTGACCAACACTTCTCCAGATTCAAAATTTAAATAAAAAGCCATATTTTAGCATGTCTCCTTATAAAGTGGGGTCTGAATTTATGGACCAAAATAATCATGGTATTACAGGGTCAGTCTGGATTTACTTACATTGGTTAAAAGCTTACATCTGTATGCCACAAATCTGCTATTGAAGCACAGTAAACATAAGTACTGTTGCAAAATACTACAGAGACTGGACATTTTGCTATATTCATCGTAGCATTACTAGGAGAGAATGTGAGATTCTGAGGCCTAAAAACCTCGTTTTAGAATTTGAGATTGCACAGGATTGTGGAAAATTCATCAGATTTCAGGCTGTGTTCTCGCAGTTATTAAAAAGAAACTGCTTCTAAATTAGGACTGAATTTAAGAACTTACATTTTAAGTAAAAAAAACTTGCAGGTAGAATTTGGGGCGACCGGTATCTGCAATACCTGGGAATGTCCAACAGGCGTCAGCATTGCAATATCTTTAAAGCTAATGTCTTGGTATTATTTCAAAGCAAACTACTTACCATTTAGCAGAGTGTAAGGAATACTGTCTTGCGACTTTATTACCGATCCAAACATTGCACAGCTGTCGTTCCACATGTTTGCAGTAAAACATATGTCTGAAGAGCATTTGATACCTGGTCAAAGCTTTCCTATTTAAAAGATACAACAGTGCATTTACAGTATACCGCTCTTATGAGTTGGAAATATATAATAATAATCCTTGCATTTGATATAGCGCTTTTCACGTCCGGAGGACGTCCCAAAGCGCTTCACAGAATACACTGTAAAGTGAATTGACTGTATATTTGTGGGCGAACGCGGCAACCAGTTGCGCACAGCAATGTCCCACAAACAGTCGTAGATTGAAAATGACCAATTTATTATTGTTTGGGGTTTTTGGAGGGATTATTCTTAGGCGTGTGGAGTAAGGAAACTTGCCCAAGGTTTCGCCCTGACCTGCCTGGAATTGAACTCAGGTCTCTTGCTTGTAAAGCGAGTGCTCTAATCACTGAGCTACAGGACTCCACGTCGGGACATCCTCCCGACGTGTAAAGCGCTATATCAAATGCAAGAATTATTATTATTATTAGGCTCTTTATTGACAATATTATTGTGTTCTTTTGCACAGGATATCTTTTCAAAACTTGTAATCACTGAGACCAAAGTTTTGATTTGGGACGTCCTCCTGACGTGAAAGGCGCTTTATAAATGGAATCTTGTTGTTGTTGTTGTTGTTGATTTGCACTGCATTGAATACAGCCATTCCGGTTCCGTGCTTAACTGACTATATTGATCAGGGATTGACATCTACAAGAATAAATTGTATCCTGTAGTACACAAAGTGTGGAATGGATTACAAACTACACCATATCCTATTGCATTGTACATTTCAATAACGTCCGTGGAAAGTCATCAGGGAGAGCGTTGGCTTTAAAAACATTTCCTTTTTAATTCAATTTACTTTGATTCCAGAACCAGTTTAATAAAAAATACTTTGCAAAAGCAAATATCCATTAATCATTTGTTATTTATTCAAGCCAACTTGTAAAGGTTTCTTGCGGATACATAACATTTATTATTCATTAGCAGCAATTGGGATTAATGGTGCTTCAATATGGTACATAATCTATTGAGGACTTTTGCTTGAAATCTCCATCTGTAATGGTAGGGTTTCAATTTTTAAAAAATGTATACTGTAGCCCATGAAAATGTCTGCTGTCTCACTTTCTCTTGTTCTTTGTGAATCAACAGATCAGTTTACCCAGAGGATTACTTGCTACATTGTAGTCCAACACGATCAATTACCTGTTTATAATCAGCGAAAGTGGCCATTTCACAACATAATCAAAGGAGAATGCTTCAAGGCCACTGAGAGCAATCTCTGTCGGGTCTGGGTGGATGATGGTCTTTTCCTGATTAGTTTCAATAGCTAGAACCCTCAGAAGTTGGGTGATTAGGTCATGTGGCATAAGATTAATCTGCAGAAAAACAATACGAGTTACAGGAGCCAAACTGCAAAAATGCTGTAATAAATTTGGAGGTCTATTTATTTTTCCATTAAACAACATGTCAAGATACTTGTAATCATACTTAGTTATAATCAAATATTCCCAACTCTAGTCTAGGAATTTCAAAACCAGAAGTCATTCCTTTCTGTAGGCATAGCCCAAGAGTAGAAGAAATATTGATTTTTTAATTGGATTTGAATAATAGTGTGTTCAGTGATAAGCCGTTTCCCGCTTTCTCTCGTCCCATTCACAGAGCGTTCACGAACAAGAAGTGTAGACAGATGACCACCTCTCTGACCTCAGCCATCGATACTCTGACCAGACAAAAGTTGAAACAGATTGGCCTGGCCTTGGGTGCCCTAGTTCCAAGAACTAACCAATGATCACCAAAAAAAAGCAAAATGCTTCATAAGAATAAGAAATTGTGTGGTAGTCATCTTAGTTCTGAAATAAGTATCTTAAAGCTGGCCAAATCAAGATATTTCCATCTGCTAAACTAGTGGAACTGAGTCATTATATAATATACTCTCAATATCCCTTAAAAACACCATACAGCACAATGATATAAATTCCACTGAATCAGCATACACTTAGTGTACTGTATAATTACTTAATTTTATGCAATGTTTAATAGCTTCATAGCAAACTTAATACTCAAACTATTCCCACAAATTTTAAAGCCAATAAAGTTACATTCAATACAGTTAACTCACAAAGTTCTATCAGTAACATTAAAACAAACCTTCAAATCATCTTTAAATGGGTCAGTGTTAGCAGTGCTCATTCTCAATGCCAGTTCAAGCAGGGCTTCCAGTCTGGTGGCAATAATGTCATCTACTGGCTTCTTCAGCTCGTTTTCGGTAAGGTCCATAAAATGGACAAAGAAATCTCCTTGGTCCATCAGGAAGTAATGTTTTATTGACCTAGAAAAAAGTGATAAAAGTAGGCTGATGAGCAAATATCCATGTTGAAGTCCAACACTAATTGACAAGTTCAAAGTCCTTACAAAGGAGCACAGGAATACATTTGGAAGTAATTTACCCAATTTTATTGCATTAGAACAGAACACATAATGAAGTGCAGCTTTTAACATTATCATCAATTTGCATAAATCTTCAGCAATACTTTCTTTCCAACACCATGGGTCATAATTAAAAGCAAAAGGTTTTTTTTTTTTTTTTTTTTTTGAAGAGGCCAAAATTTCTACCTAACACTGTGCTGAAGTCAGTTAACTTAGTGCCACAATAGAATATCTGCCTGAGGGAATAAAACCAATAACCAATTTGACTTGCATGAAAACCTAACTAAACCAATGGAACAAGATTAATACTGCCAATTCATTTACCTATTGAATTTTAACAGTATGCACTCATTGACTAAACTTTCTCATTTGCTAAAATGTTCCTTTTTAAACAACTGTTAACATTAATAGTTTAGTTGGTATAATCTTCCTCTTCGTGCAAATAGCAATATAGGGACAGGAAGAGAACATTGAGCCTGTTCTGTCAGTTTATTAGATCATGGCAGATCTTTTAATCCAATTTCTCCACCTCTTCTCCACACCCCTACTTCCAAAGTAACTAAGTATGTGTGCATGGATACTTTCCAAATAATAATTGATTCTGCCTTTACAGCCTCAAGGCAGTGCATTCCACATTTTCACAACCTTCAGTGTAAAGATCCCTATTCACCCTAGTAATGTACTTCAAGTACTCTGCAAGTACAAAATCTAAAACTTCTTTGTATTTGCAAAATGAAATTATGCATCCTGTAAGCCACTTGGACTTAAATAATGCCACTGATGTACGATAACACCACTTAGACGCAATACTAACAGACCAAGTCTGAAGTTAAGGTTAATAATGCAAAGTATTACTATATTGCTGTGAGTCTGAGGTTAATACTGCAAAAAATAATACTATATATTTGATCTTCATCTCACTATATTGGCAGGGCAGATCTGAAACAATAGCTTAAAAAACACAGAATTGCATATGTTTATCACATTCTAATGTCTGTCAATTCTGTTAGTGAAGAAAATGAATCACTGAAATTATGACATTGTGGAGTCCTGTAGCTCAGTGGTTAGAGCACTCGCTTTGCAAGCGAGAGACCGGAGTTCAATTCCAGGCAGGTCAGGGCGAAACCCTGGGCAAGTATCCTTACTCCACACAGAGCCTAATAATAATCCCTCCAAAACCAAAAACAATAATAAATTGGTCATTTTCAATCTACGACTGTTTGTGGGACATTGCTGTGCGCAATTGGCTGCCGCGTTCGCCCACAAATATACAGTCAATTCACTTTACAGTGTGTTCTGTGAAGCGCTTTGGGACGTCCTCCCGACGTGAAACGCGCTATATCAAATGCAAGGATTATTATTATAAGCACTTGTACAAAATACTCAACAGGGAACTAGGAATTGCAAAATTAGTTCCCACTTGTGGGAAAAAGCTACATGACTATAGCTCAAATTGCTAGCTTTCAACCAAACTGGAAAATCAGGAGTTACTTTATTAGCTCATAATATTGCAGATAACAACATTTGCTTGTTTAAAAGCCAGTTCACGCTGTACCTTAGTCGTTCTAAGAGTTCTTTTTCCTTCATTAAGAAATCTAAGAGAACCTTGCTGGCGTAGTTGTACGCCTTTTCAATTTGTTCCACGTATGCCCGCTCTTTCAGTGTGTAAATCACTTCCTTGGCATCAGGACAGGTCACATCACGACCACATTCTCTCACAACATTGAGATATTTCCCTGCCAAAAGAAAACACAGAAAAGAAGTTCACAGTAGTTAGTGTCAGACTGATCAAAGTCAAATGTGCACTTCCACAATTATGAAGCTACTAACAATTCAATCTGTGGATATCTAGATCTGTGAAGCATTTGCAAGGAGAGGGAATAAATTTCTCTAGTTGATTTTGTCTCAATGGAAGCCTCTGTAATGATGGCAAAGTTTAGACAGCTGCCATAAGACATTTAAAGAAGTTACTTTAACCCGTCTCTAGACAAACGGATATATTTATCTGTAACTTAAGCAGATTTGAGGGCGACACAAAGATGTGATGGGGTCAATCTGAAAATAGTGAGGAAGAACCAAGCGACATGCTACCTGTACTGAGGATCTTGTCAGCCATCTTTTGTAAGAACGAAGGGATTCTGTGCTGGATGATGGTGTACCTCCGATCCCAGTACTTATCATTATAATCCTCCTGGATTTTTTCCTTTTGGAGTTCGTGTTCCTCCACCATGAACTCACTGTACAAACCAAAGTAAAAAAAATAACTTGCATCAAGGATTACCTGTGCACATGAAAATCTTTGCTTCACCAATATAAATCCTTGCCACGGGGCTCTCCAATGGCCTAACAGTGTGCTTTAATTGATTAGATCTACGGTGTAACAGCAAGCAAAAGGCATAACTCGTGATCTTATAAATATTTTCATATATTCAATGCTACTTTACCAAAATATTCAGCTAAAATCCATTTATTCAAGACACCATTTAATATTTTAGAAGCTACCACATTTGTATTTTTAAACTTTACAGATCTTTAGGATTTGCAAAGCTCACAGCACTGCACCTGTAAGGGTCTTGGATGATGCCCCTATAAATCCATTTCTCCAGAATTTCAAAGTAAGGAACACTTGCTGCTTTGGTCAGGTAGAGGCAAAGCTCTTGTGCTTGACTGTCTCCGGTGTAGTTAAAAGTCCGGTCATGGAGCAGGCTTAGTGTTGATCCTCCCATGCAGTCTCCTTTCTCTACAGACGTAGCTGATGTCATACAAAGAAGAGATAAAATACCAACAAGGACATCCTAACTAACATGTATATTTGATTACCATTTCTCTAACACCTCAAAAAGATCTTCATTGGATTCAAGTTTTTTTTAATATAAACGTGCAATTGTCTTAGGATATGGATAGTGTACAAAGAAACCAAAAAAACTGGTTCAGCCAAGTTTGCTGCAGAATAGAATATTCAGGGCAAAGATCACTCAGCATTAAATGCAAGCACTAATACATATCAATTATTTTCGGGTGTATATGTCTTGAGTTTCTTCTACATGCAGATAAAACTTTGAAAAACAAACATGTACATTTACACGGGTGAACTTTACCCAATTTTGATCCAATTCTTACATGCAATTTCCAACTAACCATCTTGTACATGAAGTGTAACATACCTATTGAAGCCAATATCTCCATTGTTCTAATTGTTGGCTGAATATAAAACCAAAGTTTTTGCAATGAGAGCAAACCTTGCCTCTGCAAGTGTTCCAGCTGGGTCACAAGAATCATGTACTCCTTCACGAGGGCTCGCATTGCTGCAGCCAATGCATGGTTTACTTGACCGTATTCAAATAAGGATTTTTCTTCGATAAACCTGAATGTATCACAAAAGGCACAATTATATATTTTTTATAAAAAACTTTCACCCTCATTTCCCACAGGTCTTTGCACACTGACGAATAAGAAGTGCAGAGGAAGACAACCAGTGTGACATCTGCAGGTGGCAGATAAAACACTTGTTAGAATTTAGACTGTCCATTTTACTTTCTCTCCTTTCCCAAGTCAGTAAAAGGACAGGGATAGGGCAATAAACACCAGCAGACATTTTGAATAAAAATGTTGATCTTGAAACACAGTACATTCATATCACAATACATTCATATCACAGTACATTCAAGGCAGCTACACAACTATAAATGTACATTTAATAATTTTCTGAAAGGACTCTCAACAGATAGAATTACAGTAAATACACCTGAATCTCCACCACCTTTCACAGGCTGCCCACCTGGTAACAGAAGAATAACTTGCCGCTAATGGAAGAATCCTGTTGACCAATTCTTTAATGGACATGTCCAGTGTCGGATCAACTGCAAATAATCGGTTCTGCCTGCCCATTAATGAATTGGCTGTGATATATTTGCCATCCACTCCAATCAGAACGTACAGCAAGTCCTCAACAATTATTTGCTCTTGGGTAGTGAGTGTCATGGTTCCTGACAAAGAGAGATTTATTACTAAAATCTTTGAAAGTTCAAGTGTTTTTTAAACAAAACAGTATCAAGTGTAAGGTTCTTGGAGGGTGAGCAGTAAGCATTACAGCACTGATAATCATGTAAAATTTCTGGAAGGTTTGTGCAGTGAAGAATTACTTACCATTAATTAATGAATAAATGAATGAATTAATTAATTAAGTACCAGCATTACAGACTTAGCAAGTGACAATCAATAAAGAACAAGAAATAATACAATCTGTAGATTCAAACGTTTTAAGTGTAATCAATGTAGAAATAATTGAAAAAAATATATAGGCTGTGCAAGTTCAAATGTGCTATGAAAATTGATACAATAATTCTTACATTTAATATGGCATCTTATCACATCATCATTCCAGCTCAAAATGTTTCACAGAATATACTGTAAAGTGTAGTTATTCTGTGTTTGTAGGTGAACATGGCAGCCAATTTGCACACAGCAATGTCCCATGAAAATTCATGAAGTGAATGACCAATTTTATCTGAAGAAATAAAATTTTCAACATCCACCTGAAAAGCCAATTGGGACTTTGGTTTAACGCCTCATCCAAAAGTCGACACCTGACACTGCTCTCCCAAGCAGTGCTTTGTAGAGTCAGCCCTTTGACTGTACGTGTTCAGATCCAGATCATTCAAAACTCTGCAGCCCGCATTTTGATTCTCACTGCACTGGCTGCCTATCCGAGAGGATCAATTTCAAGATCCTCACCCTTGTATTCAAATCCCTCCACTCCTCTGCACCCTACTACCTCTCTGACCTCCTCAAAACAGTACCCATTGCCTTTGTTTCTCCAGGTCTGGCCTCCTCTTCGTCCCCCGAGTGCTCTGCTCCACCCTCGGCGGCTGTGCCTTCAGCCACTAAACCCCGAGGATCTGGAATTCCCTTCCTCACTCCCTTCGCCTCGCTCCCTCTCTTCCTATTTTCAGGTCCCTGCTGAAGACCTCTCTCTTTGACCACGCCTTTGGTCACCTTCTTCCCCATCCCCCTGGCCCGGCCCCGGGATCCGTTACTATGAAGTGCTCTGAGACGCCGTCTGGCATGGAGAGCGCTTTTCTAAATCTAAGTTATTGTTCAAAACTTGAACCTACAACCTTCTAACTAAGAGGTGAGAGTGCTACTAACTAGGACAACCTGGCACAAATTCATTTAATTCCAATTTGGACACAGTGTTTGAACATAAAAAGTATATGATATAAATAATAATAATCCTTGCATTTGATATAGCGCTTTTCACATCTTCTAGACGTCTCAAAGTGCTTCACAGAATATGATGTAAAGTGAATTGACTGTATATTTGTCGGCGAAACGCGGCAGCCAATTGCACACAGCAATCGTACTTACCTATGGATACCACTGTCTCCGTAATTGGACTGTGGCTAGTTATAAAATCCCCCAGAAGAGCTGTCCTCTCGTACACCCATAGTGGGAACTGAGGGATAATCTGTCCTGGATTCCTCTTGCTATGTTTGTCTCGCAGCATCTTTCGAACAACTTCGAGTGGCTGGAAATTAAAATGAAAGCAGGATGACCACTTCAGTAAAGGTCAAAATTAAGGATTTCAATTAAACTATTTAGGTTGTTATAGCCCCCAAAATACACTTTGATAACTGTTTATAGAGCTATGGAGAACATATGGTTCAGTGACTAGAATAAAACACTTTTATTTATAAAAAGACATCATTGAACAGTGACTCTGCATTTCTTCCAGAATAGAGATGTCAGAAAGGCTGGATCTGGTACTGCATACCGTTACACTGAGATTCCCTCAGTCATCTAATGGGTAAATAATGAATTGAATGTCTGAATTGTTCAGCTTTTAAAAAATCCTTCATGGGAGAATGGAGCAACTATGGAAACGCACACATCAAAAACATATCATGTCAACTCATATCATGTCCACTCCATGCTATATGTTTGGAATCCCATAAATATACCAACAAATTGAATAATTGAAAGATGGATCTCTTTACCTGTTGTGAATTTGAGCCAGTGGTGACACTCCCAAGCTGTTTTCGGAGTTCTTCAAGCTCTTGCACAGACAGCTTGGTTGTAGTTGAGGGGAGACTGAAGGTTGTACTGCTGTTCGCTAAGACACTGGCTGAATGCTCTGCTCGGTCCTTAGCATTCTGCTGCAAGTACTGCAGGGTCTACAATAACAAGACAAATCTGTTCTCAATCCGGGAACATTTAAATATTCATTGAAAACGTTCTAAAAAAGTAATAACCTTCATAATTACAGCAGTTAAAGTATAAAGTTGAGCCACTATTTGCCCTTCGGCGTTTAACATTTCAGCAACTAATGGTTTTAGAATCAGTCAGCTTTCAAATTTACTGAAACAAAAGCTTTGTTTCCATTGCAAGAAAGGTATTAAACACTGCAGCCCTTATGAATTTGTGTGAATAATTTTTGAACAATTAAATATCACACAAAAAATCAAATGCAATTCCAATTGTAACTTTTTCTGCATGCCCAACAGATTTGCTTCAAGATGTTTCTGAATCTTTCTGTGCAAGCTTGCTTGTGTACTTGTTTCATTCTCAAAATGTGCACTACCTCATGGATCAGTTTGTCCACTTAAACATTCTCTCCCATCTTCAGTGCGATTAGAATTTCATATCACCGTGTGCCAACTTTAATTGAAATTGAATGACCCCTTCTTTCAATCTGCTGAAATTTGTTTTACCAAAGAAATATGTCATTCACCAAACTTTCAGCATGTGCATTATGAACTGCCAAATGCAACTTAGAATCATATGTCATTGATTTATATTCCTGGATTCCGCCTTCCATTCATTAGAATGAACCAGCTTTGCATCTATGTTACAATTCAAACTTCGATAGCCTTGGACACATTTGTTTTATATTAAAAAAACTACTGCATATAAAAAAAATCAAGATTGTTGCTGTTGGATTAAGGATAATTTGTGATCATATATACCATCTTCAAAGGCTGTAACGTTGTGGTAAAGCAGGGGGGAAATTTCAGCATGTCAAACCCATAGCAAGTTGCCAACTACAATAACAACTTGCACTTATATAGTGCCCTCCACACAGGGTAGCATCTCAGAGCGCTTAAATGCATTGTTACAAGCAACAACTGAAGGCAACTTACTTCCAGCTTCGGTTTCACCTTCTACGAGGTGTCGTAAGACAATTTTCAAAACTTTGTTACTAAAACAAACCTTTTCCTCCAATGTTCTCTTCTTGCCTTATTCTCTGTTGGCATTTGACTGTTCTTTGTCTACTCAGGAGTGGTTTCATGGTGACTGTTTGCCCTCCCATACCTCGCCCAAGGGGCTATTATTTATATGCCAGCTGTGATTGAATGTTGTCAGGCTATACAAACCTATTCCTGATTTCACCTGATTTCTGCACACAGGCACTTAACATAACATGTAGGAGCAGGAGTAGGCCATTCAGCCCTTCGGGCCTGCCCCGCCATTCAATCATGGTTGATCTTCTAATCTAACTCCAGTTAATCCCATAACCCTGCCTTATCCCCATATCCCTTAATCCCTTTTGCAATAAGAAATATATCTATCTCAGTCTTGAATATGTTCAAGGACTGAGCGTCAACAGCCCTTTGGGGTAGCGAGTTCCATACATTCCACTTTCCAGCATGGGGCCTCTGAATAGCAATCAGGGAGTGAGAACCTTGGTGCACAAATTAGTCCAATAGGTATTTGACATTTCATTTACAGAAATAGCTGGTGGACAGTCAAGAATATAATAACTTTGCAGTTCTGTGGAAAATCATATTGAAGAGTTCAGAGAATTCAATTATAAAAAAATTACCTCTTTATCTTCAGTTAGTTTTGATAGCAGGTAAACTAGGGGATCCGAATTCCGCACATTTTTTGATTTCAGCTCATCATATTTCTTGAGAAATTCCTCAGGAGTTCTTGAAAACTCCGCTATTTTTACCTAGCAAGACAAAGAAAGGAAATTAGTCCATGAAGGTAAGCCAAGTGCACAAAGCACCTAGTCTGCACTTAGTGTCTTTCCACACACTAAGCTGCCAAGTTGAAATTCAGTAGCTTTTTCCTACAACATGCAAGTTCAAATTCAGTAGTTGCCTCTGTAGCAATTCAAGTACATCAGCACCTTGGGACGTCCTCCGACGTGAAAGGCGCTCTATAAATGGAATCTTATTGTTGTTGTAAGTGTTGCAGATGGTGAGAGAGTCAAATCCGAGACAGTACATAAGAGTTTTGACACATTTGGCTCATGTGAAGGGAGTTATATAAAACATAATTGTTGGTATTACCTTTGCGCTGTGGGCAGAAACAGTAGTTGTGATGTAAGGTGTTCTATTTTTCTGAAGGAGGTCAATGTACACTTCAGCTCCATCTCCACCTCGTACTCGAAGCAAACTGAGTAGTTCGTTGACATCGTGATGGATTCGAAATTCACTCATGTTCCTTTCCAAAGGCAACACAAAATTATAAACATGATGAAAGAACACAAAAAAATTTAAATACTTACACTACTCCATAAATCTATCCCCCAATAAATCACTTTACAAATTTTTTCATTTCTTGGTCTCAGTCACGCACAACTTTTTGCGTTTCAGCAAATCAGAGATTTCACCAAGAACTACGTACAAAATCATATGATTACATTGAATATGCGGTTTACTTAAAGAATCCTTTTCCCAGAATAGCTCCAGATATACACCTGGGCAGGAGTTAGTTTTGCACTAGTCTACTTCCCTGTACTGTACAAATATGTTTAATAGATCATTGCCTTTGGTTTTCACCAGATTTAAATGAAAAATGAAAGGATTGTGACAACAGGTTGAGTTGGAAGGCTGCCCATAAAATGAACTTCCAACAAAAGCAAAAATATAAACCAAACGTTATGAGGTAATTGAGGGGAACAAATTGGCACCTGCTGTTAGCCGTGCTACAACATTGAAAGAACATTTGCCAAACAAAACGTTTCCAGTTTTACTTAATACATTTTTTACTTAATAATTTATCACTTAATAAAGTGCAGTTAATTTTGAATATAGCAGGTTGCACCAATCAATTCTGCAAAGCAGGTAACAGTTAAATCAAATATATTCGGAGTTGAAGGCATGTAACTTTTAAACGAGACAAATATTCTACAACTACAACATTAAGTAGTCTCCATGGGAAACGTCAGGCTGGTCCACTGTGACCAACCTTTCTTCCTTATCAATCAAATTGAAGGTGTAGCAGACCTGTTCTCCAGCTAGCAAAACCCAAACCTCAAAGGGTTAAGGCATTCGAAGATGAACGATACTGTGTAGTTGCTGAAAAGTTCTGCAGCTAAAAACACGTTTCTAATAAACTTGATATGCCCATAAACATACAAAAAAAAGTGCTGCAGGTACTTTTTTTTAAAAAAGCCCCACTTGACAAAATACGCTAAGCATTTATTTATTTTTAAGTTCAGAAATACTGAATATAAAAAAGGTACCCATTGTACTTCAGGTATGTGCTTAATTGCCAAAAGTAACATCATATCACATGCACTGTTGCAGTGCTATTCAGTCTGTTTCTCCCCACGGAATACATGTCTTAGATGTCTGAAACACGAACCAGGTCAGGAACCTTACCATGAACTACGAAGTCTATTAGAGTATTGCCATAATGATCGAATGCCATCAACATGAACAGAGCTGCGCTAATTTTAGGACACAGAACAAGACGTATCCCCGTCGTTGAAAACGAGTGGGGAAACTCAACACGTCTCCGGTGTATTTAAATCGAACGCGTCCCGAGGGGTTAACGTCAATCTTCGGGGCGAACAGTCCCGGTGCACACAGCGATATTGCCCTCCGTCTCCGAGCGCAAACAGACACGTACCCGGTCTGGAGCTGACAGCCTCGATCGATTTTTTTTTCTTTTACACGCGACACCGCCACCACCACCACCACAACAACAACAACAACAAAAAAAAACACAACCGGAGGGACAAGTTCAGCTCTCGATGCCGCTCGATCCCAACTCCGCCTCACCCCCCCCCAGCGCAGTGCGGGTAAAAGAAAAAAAAACACGCACAAGTCCCCGCTGGTTTTGAACCCGTCCCGGAGCCTCTCCTCTCCGGCCTCGGCCTTCTCTGGTACTTGTCCCGGCGTCCGTTACGTCTCGCTGAAGAGCCCCCAAACAGGTCTGCCCGACCCCGGCCTCTCTATATAAATCCACCGCCCCGGTGTCTGTACGTACACTCGGCCCCTCGCTCCATAGCCACCTCCCGGGTCCCTGTGTCTTTATATTCTCGCTTCTTCCTTTCGCTCTCTCTCTCTATATATATGTGTGTGTGTATATATATATGTGTGTGTGTGTATATATGTGTGTGTATATATATATGTGTGTGTGTATATATATATATGTGTGTGTGTGTATATATGTGTGTGTGTATATATATGTGTGTGTCGCCCACTCTCTGTAGCTCGAGCGCCGCTCTCCACCTCCTTTTACCGCCACACACAACAAACAGCCCCCGCGGTGCCGCACGGAAAACGGTCCCCTTCCCCTGAGCGGAAACACGAGCGCCGCCGCTCCGTTCCTCCCTCCGCTAATAAAACAAAAGAGAGCTGGAGCCGCCGGAGCGGACGAACCCGCAAAAACTCGTAGGTAGCGGATCGGGCGGCTTTAACGGACTCGTATTTTGTTGCACCGCGCGCGCGCGCGCGTGTGTGTGTGTGTGAAAAAAAAAGAGGAACTCACCTGTGTTATCATTGATTTTCGTTTTAAAAAAATTGAAACCTGCAAAAAAAAAACTCCCGATTTCGAAGACTTTTTTTTTCCTGAAGCAGTTTCCGAAGCACTACTCAATGAACCTAAACCTGACTTGTAACCGTCGTACCGTCAGCAGAGGACAGCACCGGGGCCGCTTCGGGGGGGGGGGGGGGGGGAGAGAGAGTGCGGACCCGCGCAGTATTCGGTTGATGTGGGGGTTACGATCGTGGATTTTTTTTAAAAAAAATCGTTGGCAAATTGACGTTGCGCGCGCCGACGAGACGGGAGGGGGCGCGAGCGGGAGGTCCGTCCGCGCGAGCGGAGGAGGAGGAGGAGGCGGAGGCGGCGGCGGCGGCGCGAGGAAGTGACGGTTGACAGTTGGCGGCGCGAGGCGAGGAGGAGAGGAGGAGAGGAGGAGGAGATGCTACACGGCGCAGAGGAGGAGGCCGGCGAGTTGCGAGCGTCTCCCTTCACCTTCAGGTCCCGGAGGATCCGACTGGACAGGGACGACGAGTTATTCGAGGTGAGGCTGTCCCGGCCCTTCAGGCGGCCCGAACTGAGGGGGGACTCTTTATCCCCGGCGGTGGAGGCCCAGGATGAGGGTCAACGTAAGTGCCCTCCCCCCCCCCCCACACCCCCACCACCACACCCCCACCTTGTGTGAACGGACCCACGATGGGTGGCGTCTCACACAGCTCCTGTCAGATGGAAATAAACGTGTTTTTTTTTTAAAAAAAGGCTGAAATAAAACAAAAAAAAACCAGAAGCACTTCGCAAGGTTTTTTTACCCTGAAGTGTAGTGACCGTGCGTTTTTGTAACCGGAGTGCAGCAGTCAAACCCCGGCTTTCCAGTAAGTGTCCCGCAAACAGTCGTGAAGTGAACGGCCGATGTCGTCTGCGGGTGACGACGGAAGTGGCCGGGATTCGCCCGGCAGAGGCCAAGCAGCATCTGTGGAGGGAAAGCGAGAGAGGAAAGTGAGCGAACGTTTGAAGTCGGTGACCGTCGGTCAGCGACTTCTGTTCCCAGTGACTTCGGTGTTCCGCCCACAAATGGACGGTCAATTCACTTTACAGTCCGTTCTGTGAAGCGCTTTGAAGACGCCGAGAAGACGCCGTGAAAAGCGCTACATCAAAATGCAAGGATTATTATTATTATTATAATTTCCGATTTCCAGCATCTGCAGTGTTTTGCTGTTATGTTAAAAGGCCGACCGATCACTGGAACACAGGAGCGCGGCAATTCAGCCAGTGTTGCTGTGAGGGCAAACCTGGTGTCAGCTCATCCCACCCCCATAAACACACCAGAGTAGTTGTGTGTATGTGTGTGTGTGTGTGAGAGAGAGGGAGAGAGAGGGAAGCAAAGTCGACTCTACAGATGTGTGGAGGATTCCTAGAACCTGCCTCCAGAGGGAATATGAAATGGTGGTGCGGTAGAGAGAGATACAGGGAGTGCAAGAGACAGGGGATGTATATTAGATATATTTAATGCGGAGAACACAATCTCAATGATCGCTGTCGGGACACGCTAAATCCGTGTTCGACACTGATGCATTGAAGTTTCTGTGCTATTTTGGACGTAGCCATTCACACTGATGTTCAAATACATCTTATCTCCAAAGGTATATGAGCAGCTTCAATTTGCTGACCGTCCATGCCAATTAGCAGACAATAAAAATAATCGGTGATTTGAGAGCCACGTTTCCTCTAAAATAATTTCTCTCTGCTATTTGTTTTAGGATGGTGACATTCATAGACATCTGTATCTGCAAGATGCCATAACAAGTGTAGCTGAAGAAGTTCAAAGAGCCAAGTAAGTACAATACATGGGAGTAATTAAGAAAATCTTGACATTTGATATTGCACCTTTCATGTTGGTATATCCTGTGAAGTTCTCAAAGAGCTTCATAGGATATACTGTAAAGTGTTGTAATGGCTGTGCATTTTGTAGGCAAACATGGTAGCCAATTTGTGCACAGCAGTGTCCCACAAACATCCGTGAAGTGAAGCTCATGTATTAGTGATTATTACAATAACAAGTGGTTCATTGTTATACCAATCAATTTGTGCCACTGCAGTCCTCCTAAAATTAGATGTCTTTTGAAAAATGTATAATGACAAAGCAGAATTGGGACACCTTCCATATTGTACTTGGTTTACATCTGTAATTGTACTGTTTGTATAGCAGACTCTGATGGATATGTATTTGTTTGTTTTCTTTTCCAGGATTTCTATATTCTGTTGCCATATAGCAGGTTGCAGTCAGCTGTTCGACACCTTAGAAAACTATGAGCATCATTATAATACGTTCCACCGCAATGTGTGCTCCTCTTGCAAACGCTCCTTTCCCTCCAGTCACCTCCTGGACATTCACATCCTGGAATGGCATGACTCACTTTTCCAAATACTAGCAGCGAAACAAAATATGGTAAATCACTTCTGGACTCACAACACATTTACTCAGTCAACTATGTAATTTGCTGGCTTTTAAAGCAGTGGACCTTTTGTTTCGTATATCACAACTTAGATTAGAACTGTACAAACTCAGTGCAGATACCTAAAACTTTCTATGCAAATGGCAACCTCTAAATGCTTCTACATTTATTTCCTAGTATCAATGTTTGGTGGAGAGTTGCATGGAAAAGTTTAAGTCTTATGGCGACCGAAGAAAACATCTAGTCAATGTTCACAGTTATCCACCTGACTTTAGGTTTGACAAACAAAAGATAACTAAACGGTAAGAACATTTTTTCACTGATTACATTGGTAAATTACATTAAAAAGAAGTGTTTTGTTGCTCAAAAATCTTCTTTATTTGCAGTTCATCGTCAAATCCTCCGTTTTTAAATAATCTCTTTGGGAGTCTGACAATAGTCATTTCCAACTAGGTTAAATTATCACTAAAATACCCATTTTTTTGCAGAAATTGTTTAAGCGTTTGTCCCATTTCTGGCTATTATTTTTGTTCCATCATCTGAAGACTATTTAGCTACAAAATTAAGGATACAGAAGGATATTGTGTTTTGTGGAAAGATTCATTACTGGATGCTGAAAGCCCAGTGGTTAAACTCTTGTTGTACATTATTACTAATTACAATCAATGCATTTACGCTTCCTCAAGGGTAATGTTGGAGCTCTAAATTCCATCAGTGGAAATTGACCTCTACAAAGTCCATTGGTCATCTATGTCTCTTGATTCACTTATAAAGAAACTTCCCGATGCCAGGAAGCGTCATAAATATAATCAACACAGAAAACACCAATGAAGCCTACAAACAATGCAGGTTTATAACAAGTACAACAAAAGCTGTAGTGTAGCTCTGCCAAAGGCCTAGTTAAAAGGGTCTAATTAGTAACGATATCATCCAGTACAGCACGTGTCCATAGAGATGAGAAAGATACAGATTTGAATTTTATCTATGCTGAGTTGACAATCTCAGCCGGGGCAGCAGTTGGGTTGCATTTTAATATGAGCTTAGATATCGACCTGGGATGATCCTTTCCAAGATGTGACTGGTTAGTGTTGAGTGGAGCAGCATGTAGCTGCACAGTCTCAGGCATAGCAGCCCTTGCGCAGAACAGTCAAAGTTTCAGATCTGACCTGACTAAACTTTGCTTTCAGTGCTCTTGTATTTCAAATTGCTGGGGAATAAAACTGGTCACTTAATGGTTGTAAATAGCCATTTAAAAATACACTTTTTCTCATTGTTAGTCTTGAAAGTTACATCGCAAAGCAGCTTTTTATTTTCTTTCCAGTGCACATAAGAAAAAAAATAAGAACCCACATGACATGGATGTGAAAACTGCAAAGCATGAGAAAAAACACAGTGATGTTTGTGGCAGTATATCTGGAGAACCAATGGAACAAGGTTCGGTGGAAATGACAGAGGCTGAAAGTGAACCCATGTCAAGAGTGGAACAGCCTGCGGCTACCACAACACAGGGAGGCTCTCGCTTCTCCTACAGGTTAATCTCTACTGTTTTAATTTGTTTAATTTTTGAGGTATACAACCTTAAAAGTGTTGGTTTTGCCAATAACATTTATACAGCAGTACAATAACCCAATAAAAGGATTTTTTAAAATAAAATTCTGTTGTTATCTACTCTAACTAGTTTTTTCGATTGTCATGAAAGACTAAATGCACAACTATCATCCTAAAGCTTGCAAACTCAAACAAAATGGGGAAACTAGAGAAATAAAAGGTCTGGAGATTATATTCATGAAGCCTGTGTTTCAGTGAAGTCCAGAAACACTGTGACATGAATTGTGTGCCTTGGTTGTTACTTCAGTTCTATTACACTCAACTATAAAGGGCTAAAAAATGACTAAATTAGGGATCCTGATAATCAGTGTATGATTAAAGGATATAACGTGATTGATTACTGCTGTGATAGGGTTGAAATATAAAAATAGATTTACAATAAATCACAGAGAGTGGGAAGAAACATGGGTGTGGAGTAGCCAGATGATGGCATCCTGCTGTAAAGCCCCTGTGTTAATTTTCTGCGTTCAGTGTTGTGTAAGTACATGATAACTATTTGGCGTGATACAAGGAAGGCATCATCACTGTGAACACTCAAATCTTGCTCTCGTTAAACAGACTGGCTTATTGCAGAGAGTACAAATGTGGCTGGTGGAATGTTACAGTCGCTTTACATAAAGAACTAATGAGACGTTTTCATTCATTGTAGTATTTGCCCAGTTATTGCTGACCTGACAGCAAGCAATATTCTAATTCATTCTTTTTCTTTGTAGGGTGCCGGCAACAATTTGTTTTGGGCACGGGTCAGTCCGGGGCTTTAAGAACCCAAGAAAAAAGAGGTGATTTGTGTACAACAATAAACTATGGAATTAGTTCTGTAAATCAAATCTCCATTGGGAATTGGAAAACCATTTCTTCAACTTCGACTGATGTAATTGGACATATTTTTCCTGTTGGAGATGTGCAGTTGGCCTTATCGGCCAACCCAGTCTCGCTGTACTTTTCAAACATTGTCTCATTCAGATAACGGTGGTGATGGCATATTTTCCTTCACCATGAGAGAGATGTCATCACTGTGTACTATATAAAGTTTGGCTCTTTAAAATTAATAAAGAAATGATTTATTTGTGAACCAACTGCAGTGGAGAGAACAAGCCAGGCATAGTGATGTAATTTTATCCGAACTACAGTACACAATGGAAAAATGATTATACTCCCCTACCATGTTTGTAATAAAATGCATCATTATTCCTGGAGTTTTGCACAGCGCAATAGCATATGGTTATATGGTTCAGAATACTTGGCAGGAGACTTATTGAAAGAAAGTAGTTTATTCTTCAAATAAGTGCCATTCCCGCTGCATACTTTGTTTTATTTGTCTTGATTCCTTGCCGCTCTCCCCACTCTTCCTCAGTTTGTATTTTCCTCCGATCCCTGCTGCTTTCAGATCAGATATTTTCCACCCCGTGGTCCAGCACAAATAATGTGCTGATTGTGTGCCTCAGCAGCACAGTATTTATAGAAAGGTTTCTTTTCACGCACTTTATGTTCCTAATTGAGTTGATGCTGTGCATTAGGCAGCGCATTTAATATCTGCTCTCAACATTCAGAAAATCAAAATCATTTTAAATTTGAAAGTAAAAAGATCATCTCTACTTCAAGGATCTGATTCCTAAATTATTGATTGATTGTCTGGACAGATATAAATCATCTTTTTCTCTGCACTCCGGTAATCTCTTGAATTTGATCTGGACTATTTGGGCCAAATAGCAGTGAGCGATAATATAACTGCTGACATCAAGCCATAAGTGCAAATGGTTTATAATGTCCCAAAGTTTACATCTCTTTTTTTTTATCCTCTATTGATACGGAATCAGATTTCTTTGTTTATACGTTTACCTTGAGCAACTTTCAGTGCAGATACATGATCATTTGTGCCTTTGGTGATCTTTCACCCAGATACATATTTTTCATGGCACCATTAATGCAAATTTAATGCAAAAATAATAACTTCATAACCAGAAAATTCTGTGTCCAGCATATATTTTCCATCATAAAATTCCATGCCTAGCATCTATAACTGTACATTCAAACTGCATAGATATTATTAGATATAAATTAAAATTTTGATGTGATACTTGCTCACACAAGTGTTGCAATCGTTACTGTAATTGGGAAGCAATAAATTTGAACCACTGGTGAGGTTTAGTTAGTGGTATATACTAGAGACAGCTGTAACAAAGTAAAAGTTTCTATTTTGTATTCTGATCAATGAAAAATTAAAATCTTTAATTGTACCTTTTAAGTATTATTTACCATTTCCAATGCATTTTAATCATAATAATATTAATCATCCTAATATGTACATTTGCTGCTGCCTTTGCAGGACGGTGTTTTTGTAGGTGAACGAGTAGACAATTGCACATGGCAATGTTCCACAAGCTCACAAAGTGGATGAAATTTAAGCAAATAAAAGACTTCTCTGACTTCTCTGAAGGAAAGCTTGCACTGGATGGCCTGTTCTGAGAAATATTCAGGTCCAATTTTGTAAGATTCGACAAAGGATTTGTAAACTGTAAATTCTGTATATGTCAACTCTGGAACTCCAGTGGGAAACAGGAATCAGAGATTGGGGTGCGAGCTGTCTGCCAGACAGCCTGCAAATCATTCTGAATGCTCTATTTACAAATTATTTGGTGAATCTTGCAGATGAAACCCCTTATCTTTATTTTCTATATCCTTACACTGCTCGCTTGCATTGCTATTAAACACAATTAGCAATGCAATTAACACAATTGCATTTGTATTTAATAGTAATGCAAGAGGGCAATATAAGGATTAGGATATAGAATGTTGTCACTGGATAACCATTGATTTTGTTGCAGCTTTAAATTCATATAATTACCATACAAAATAAAACAACATATACAAAATGGGTAGATTGTAATTTTTATATTTTCTTTTTATATATATTCAATATAAAACGCTTTAAGATCTCTGAAATCAATTTCATCTACAATAAACTGTATGTGGGGGTTGAATTAGGACCTACTTCTTGAACCACACCCTATGGTCACCTTTTCCTTTGCTCGGCATCCAACCTCTCCACTGTACAGTGCTCCAAGACGCTATCCTATGCGAAGGACACTATATAAATGCAAATTATTGTTGAATAGACAATTAGTGAAAAAGTTACTTGAATGTACAGGATATTCCCTGTGATAAAAGTATTGGAAGTGCAATTGATTCATCTGTAAATAACTAGCTAATATTTCAATTAATATTGCTAATTAAACATGAATTTATACTTTAAGGATATTTGGAATTCAGAAACAATGAACAATGAACTTTTAAATATGAATTTTATAGATATTGGCCTGGACATCTGGGATTATGTAATGAACCTATCTTGAAAGGTTCAAGTGACATTGCAAAGTATGCAAGCAAAGCTGGGGCAATATATAAAAATGGAATCCAGCCAGGGACTAAATTTACAACGTTATTCTCATTCTCTTTTATCTAACATTAATATATGTAATTTCACTGAAATGTTTTACTGCCAGTTACAAGCAATGGTGAACTGAATCAATGAAAACAAAGTGAGATGCCAACACTGTAAAATAGTACTTAGTTTTATGAGAGAACTATCATTAAGAATGCCTTCCCAAAACTTACTCCCAGACTCCAATGATTTAGTAACTTTAGCACATAAGAAGAATTTGGAGGAAAGATAACCCATCATGCAGATAGATGGTAAGCTATCATTTATTTTCACTTAAAATGGAACGAGAATTGACAAAACATCTTAAATGAGTGTTCAGTGTATGCAGTGGTGACAAAATAGTCCAGGCTGGCACTCCAATGCAGTGCTGGGCGAGTGCTGCATTGCCAAAGGTGGTAGCTTAAAATTAGATATTAAACCAGGGTCCTGTCTGTGCCTGTTCAGTAGAATGTAAAATATCCCATGTGACTTTCAAAAAAAGAAGAGTTTTGCTCAGTGTCTTGGCCAGCAATCTTACAGATAAATTAGGAATTCACTTTGTGGCTGTTTTGGGGACATTGCTGTGGCTGCCGCGTTTCGTCTACAGAATGGGCAGTCACTTAGCAATAAAATCCTGTTAAGCGCTTGGAGACATTTCAACAAAGAAAGGTGCTATATCAACAATAACAACAATATAGCATCCTTCATGCAGGATGGCGTCTCGGAGTGCTTTTCACTTAAAATGAAATGAGCATAGACATCAAATGCAACGATTGTTCAAACAAAATTGTAATTCTTATGGTTAACAAACCATAAGTTATAGTTCACTTTAAACATGTGCAGAATTGCATTTGGTGATAATCATTTAATTGTAACCTACTTAATGGCTTCCTGTTTACTCCATTACATAACTCCAGGCCCAATACTTAGTGTAGTACTCTAAATGTAATGCTGATGAATGCATGAAATATTCTCCAATTATTTATGCCTTAATTGCTCAGCGCTCTGAATATTATTTCAACAGAACACTCATTTGCTGTTTGCAATATTTTAAAACAAAACTTGATTTAAATGTTTTGTTAGTAAAAAAAAGTTACAGCAGACGTATTAAATGGGATGAAGTACAAATTGATCATTTTTATGTGCAGTCTGTAGAACACATTACCCAAGCATAAAATCTCTTGGCAGACTGGTTTATTGTTCCATCATAATTCAACTATGTTTGCTGAAGAATATAAAATCCTTCCAGCAACAAACAATGACCTTATGCTTTAGGGAGCATACAATCAGCAGTGAAACAATGGAAATGGACTGAGTAGAAGATACTAAAATAATATACTGCAGTATTTGGTTTTCAGCATTTCTGTCATTTGCAGGTTTATGATATTACTGATATCTACACTTATTTTGCAAAGCAAACTGTGTAACTAAGTCCTGCCATTTAATGTAGTAACTTAAGAACTATAATAAGCCATTTGTCCTGTGAAATCCTCTGCCACTTTATTAGTGCATAGCAGATCTTTATCTTTCTAATCCAATTGCCTCTTTTCCAATATACCTTAATACTCTTCCCAGCTATTTACCCTTGTTCTAAATACCTCAATCCATTTTACATGAATAGTCTCCTAAAACAGGATAGTCCACCACTTTGTTTTAGGAAATGGCATCTCGGTTCACTTCTAACCCATTTAACTCTAATTTTGAGTTTCCTTCAATTTAAATTTGCGTAATTGTTGTTGCTCTTGCTTGTTAATGGAATTTTACAGGTCAGTTTCTCAGCCTTATGCCGTTTTATTCAGAGTCCTGCAGTGGTTAGAGCACTTGCAAGCGAGGAGATTCAGGCTTAATTCTCCGTGGGATGAAACGTTAAGCAAATTTCCTTTATCCACACACCTCTGTTTATCTAACAGTAAGTAGGAACCCAGTTGTTAGTTGATTGGCGGATTGCTTTCCAGGTGTAATTCTTCAAAAAAAATAAAAATAATAATTTGGTTACTCAATCCAGGACTGTTTGTGGGACACTGCTGTGCACAATTGGCTGCTGCATTTTGCCCACAAAATATACAGTCAATTCACTTTACAGTATATTCTGTGAAGCGCTTTGCGACGTCGAGAAGCTGCGTAAAGCGCTTCATCAAATGCAAGGATTATTATGAGATATCAACTGCAAAGGGTTATCATTAGTATTTCAACAATGAAAGGAATGGATAAATAAAATGTTACGAGATTCAAAACCGAGCCATGACTCGGTTGGGCCCACGGTTTCGAAACAGGTTTCTAAAAGATCCGACAGAAAAAGATCGGACCCCTATGACCTTATTGCACCCTTTTGCCAATGGGGATAAATAGTTTTCCTCTTCAAAGCGAATGTCCCAGACATCCACTAGATGGTGACATTGGCCTGTGTTAATATTAATACACCGCACTGGGCTCTTTGCGGAACTGCTCTTGTCGTCGCCCCTTTTTTTTTGCTAATGATGTGTTTAATCCACCAACATGCCTATAGGCGGTGAAGGTCGGCGAAGAGAACATTTCTCACAAAATATACCAGGTTTTCAATCCAACCTTTTGGGAGACCCCCGAGTACTGTACCAGTTACTTGCTGTCACAGATTGTATTGGCACAATGTTTTTTTTTAGTGTGACGCACAATATTTACCAGATCTCAACAAAACAGCTTCAATATATTCGTTTGCAAAGTGTCATATGGGATTCGAGGTAAAGAGTATCGTGAACTGGCATTTCCTTACCCACCCACCACACACACACACACCACACACACCAATAGAGACAGCAAAAAGGGAAATATTATTTTACAAAGTTGTGAAATCCGCAATTTGAAGACCAGGATGGTCCACATTTCTCACAGCATTTTGATGTAGGTAATGACTTCTCGAGTCACTTCTAATCCATTAGCTCTAATCTTACATTTGCTTAAATGTGCTTAATTGTTTGCCACTTGGGCTGAGAGGAGTGTACCGTTATACTAAATAAAAGGCTTTCATCCATCCACCTTCCGTGGGTCAGTCTGAATAAATCTGACTTGTCTTTACCAACTCCAACGGGAAAACAAACCAGCGCTTTTCTCATCAGACTATTGTATTGAGACACACATTCTCCACAGACACAAATTCGATGCGCATAATTGTTCTTTAAGAAATAAATGTGCAGAATAACGCTCTGACGGTGGCCGAAGGCAATGATAAACTCCCAATACAGTCGCAGTATTCAGTTAGATAACGCTTCTTTTTTTAAAAAAAAAGTTGCTTTTCCCCAGGAATATTTGGCCGGTAGTGCAACATGTAGTTTATTTTCTGAATGTATCACTTAAGTGAGTGCGTCAGGAGTTTACTCACTCGCTGTGCCGCTGTTAATATGGAAATCGGATGAAACTACAAGATTACAATAAATCGTTTCAAAACGGGTTAATTTGAAACGGGAGTTTTACTAGTTTTAGTTTGTGAAAACCCCAGTCACGACTGCAGTAATATCCTTCAAGACTGAAGGGGGCCATTCGACCCATCGTGTCTGTGCCATATTAACGCGAGATGGACCGCAACTCCACTCCACCGCTGCACAATAGTAACGCAGAATAATACATTTTTTTAAAAAAAAAAGCCCTCTCCCCACCTCAAGAAAACCGCCTTAAAAAAACACTATTTCCTCATCTCCAAAGTCAAAACGAGTAATTGTAACGCCACTCAAAACATAGACTAAAATGGATAGTTGCATCGGGCGGAGTGTTAAAGACTGGTATTTGGCCACGCAATCAGTTGGAGTATTTCAGTCGATTAAAGAACCGAGACGTACAGAGTTATTATCCTTACCGTTTGCTCATAAATCACGGGTTGTCAACGCCTTGTGACTTGTCGTGACATCTCCCTGCGCTGTCTTCCAAGAACCTGTCTTCCAACCGCGCCAGTGAAATCCTAAACACATATCTAAAACCAATCTCATTCTGCTTTTACTTTCTTTTTTAAAAAAAACACGCCGATTCCCTCCCAGCGTTAAAGCAAACTTTAGTGTGATATCTTCGCAAAGGCTCGGGGTGGGTTGTGTTGGCAAAGCATGCGCAATAATAATACTTGGAAAGTCGTAACTATTTTATCAAAAAAAAGTTACTTACACAAGTTTATTGAGTGATCAATGTACAAAAACAAATGGGATTCTCATTATTCTTACACTTTTGTTTTTTTTTACTTATCTGTACCTTCTGTACACGTGACAACCTGTACACTATTTAAGAAAATGTAAACAGTTTTTAAAAAAAACACGTACTTTTAAATGCACTTAAAATATATATTTAAATATCGGTAAACAATTTCTCAAGAGTTTTTCTCATCTGATTTGTAAAATGTCGCAGAGTGCCAACAGATTTTGCAAAAAACAAACACAAAAACAGCCGTAGTAGCCCTATGGAGAACTCACTATATTTACAGCGCGTAGTCACTAAAGAGTCTTTATTATTATTATTATTATTATTATAGAGGAATAGATTTTGTTCGTAAGCAAACGATCATAATAGACTAAAATCACCGTAAAAGTATAAGGCGCAACGTCCCTCTCAAAGGGGTTGCTTTTATAAGTGACAATTTCATAAAACGATATAGTGCCATGTAGGAAGAACTAACTCCTTTTAAAACAGGCAGCACCCCCCCTTTCCTCAACAGCTGGGCTCTCGGCACTCGAGAAAATGCCATTTCTTTCTCATCTATTTTTTTGTTGATTTGAGTCCCACTGTCAAGGTTGCGAAATTAACCAGATACTCCTTATCTGCTCTGTTCTGGGTGCTCGTGACAAATCCGGTAGAAGTGAAGTGAGTGAGGCATACATGGGGATGGAAATCAATAGGTAGGGTCAATCAACTGTGTACATTTCAAACCTAACTGTTGCGCAAAACAAAAACAAAATTTGAGCGAGAACTACTTTAAAAGATGTGTTTTTTTTGTAAAAAATAAAAGCCAGGCATTTTTCATGCCCCCCCCCCAATCTATCCAACAGAGTTGACAGCAGACAAGAGACTCTTGCAACTATTGTCGCTTCACCCTCAACGCTTCTGTGTTCAGCTTTATCAATGAAGTCCGGGCTCACAAACCTAAATAGGACATTTTTATTACATCGCCTTCGTTTTCTCTTAACATTTTTTTTAAAAAAAAAGTATTTGGTTTGAATGGCATCGATTATTTAGAAAACATCGTCTTTATAGTAAAGGACGCCGCGTACAGGGTTTTTGAATTGAAATTTGTGCCCGAAAAAAAAATCCCTATGGTTCCCAAATAATCTAATAAGCGATCATGGACTCCAGAGCGATTGGAATTATTTAGAAAAATTATTTTTTTTTAGCCAAAGCACGTTGTGCCCTGGAAACTTGGCTACAGTTGATTTCACATCAGTGAAAAGGGGAATCCTGTCTTTCTTAAATCGGGAGAGTAGTTACAAGAATTCTTGCAATTTACGATAAATAATACATTCCATATGTGACCGGGGTTGTGAAAAGTCCTGGGACGGGAAGACTGGGGCGCTGGAAGGCGTTGGATGGTCCATATAAAGATGGAGATGTAAGATGGGTCCCTAGGGGAAATGGCAGCCCAAAGGAGGGCAATAAGGGTTTAGCGGCCAGTTTGAGTTTTTCCAACTCGGCTTCCTGTAGTCTCTTTGCCTTTGCTCTTCGGTTTTGGAACCAGATCTTGACTTGGGTCTCGGTCAGGTTGAGGGAGCTCGAAAATTCTGCTCTCTCGGCGATGGACAGGTACTGTTTCTGTCGGAACTTGCGCTCCAACGCCAGGAGCTGAGAAGTTGTGAAGGGCGTTCTGGGTTTCCTGTTGTTTTTATGTTTCCTCAGAGTGCACGGAGATGGACTGGGGTGTCCTATGATGGGGAAAATAAGGAGAAAATGTTTTACAATATAATCCCGAATTTTTTTTAAAATAAATATATATACACATTACACAAAAAAGGGAATTTTTTTTTACGAGAATATAAATGTTAAAAGGCTGAAAGAGAACATTTATCAGCTGAGGGTTTTCTTTCTTATGTGTTCAGTTTATACACTTTGACACTTTTTAATAGCCGCATACTTTAAATTTAAAGCTTGTTTTATGGGATGAAATTGGTAACGTGTGTGTGTGTGTGTGTGTGTACGTGGAGAGAGGAAAAATTAAAAGGGCAGAAATGTTATGAACGCATATAAAAAATAACGCTAAAATCGATTCAATGCCTTAAAATAAGGCTCGGGCGGATTTTGACAATGAAAGCTGAATAGATTCATAAATCTCCACATATAACACAAACTCTCGTGACATATATGCTTCACGAATCCACTTTCTGATTTTTTCAGAAAGAGTAAACATGTGCAGTTTATGTCTATTTACAACGATTTGGGTTAAGGGCTAATGTTGGCCTATCCTCCTGAATTGGAGTAAAGTCATGAGAGTGGACACATTACTACCAACTGCACACACCGTTTATCTGAACATAGTTTCACAGTTTCATATATATGATCAGTTTCATATATATATATATTCATATATATCCAGTAACAGATAACGAAACGCCTATGGATTAATGATTGGCGTAAAGACAGACGGACTTGTCTTATACTGCGAATTTCGAGCGCCTTATTTCGTTTATGTAGAGAAAAACCTCATAGATGTAATGTTTCTGGGTCGAGTGCCTGATACTGTAGCAATCTGAGTGAATTCAGCCGTGTCTCTCTACAAAGTGTGGTACATATAGGGGGGGGGGGGAGATTTTTTTTAAAACTTCTGGAACATTTCAAATTGCCCTCCGGAAATATATAGATTTTAATGCCATGTAACACAACCAAAAACCTGTCCTAAATTAGGCGGAGACCCGGTTAGCCGCGCTGGAGTTTGGGAGGCGAATTGAATTAATCTCCTCTCAATCAGGTCCCAGTGAAGGTGAGCAGAGTATCAGCAGCTTCTACAGGTATTAGAGGGAGAGCGACACCCACTTGTTGACACCCAGTCACTTCCTGGTACATCGCGTGGTTTTTTTTTCGTTTCTTCTTCTAAGGTAAATCAAGTTCCAATTTATCTCCGGTTCACTCGGCGCTGCCCCGACACCGCCGGTCCTCACGTACAAGGCTAAGGCTATCGGGATCCCTTTCCCTCCGAGTCTCAGGCAAAGGGCGCCCGTTCCCAGGTGGCACTCGTCTATCCGACCGCCCGCTCTGAGACTCATTTGCGCTTCGAGGAAGCGTAGAGCCGTATTGCATGAAATTCTGTGGCATTTCATTATTTTCCTCAACGGATGGAAACATTGACAATTCACCGCATTTTTTAAAAGCCCCGAAATAAAGTAAAACAAAAGACTACACCCCGCCTCCCCCCCCCCCCCCCCCCCCCCCAGAATTATGTAAGTTTAATGGAGCGTTTTGTCTTCAACTAACCAGCGCCGGATGAAGACATTTGCCAAAGGTCATCAATCGCATTAGGAGAGATGGTTTGCAGACGGGGCTGTACTTACTGGGTGGGGGTGAATAGGAACCGTTTTGAATCCAGGCAGATTGCTCCTTGTCGCTGAGCGTTTCCGACTCGTGAGAGGACGGGTTTTCGGGAAAGTTTTGAAAATCCTCCACGGGGTAACTTTTGCCAGGATACAGAGTCCTTGCCGAAGGCTGGTCCTTGGCAACCAAAGGGTTAACCGCGGCCAGGCCGGGCTCCGAGGAAGAGGGTTGCGTCCTGAAAGTTTTTCTGTCTCCAGCTATGAGGGACTCCACGCTGAAAGAAAGATTGGAAACTTGGTTCTTAGATCCCTTGGAGTCCGTGGTCGAACTTTCGCTGCAGTCTCGTCCCTTCCCTGTACTCCCCGAGTCCTTCTCTTGCTCTTTCATCCCCTGGTTGAGAGACCTTTGCACGGTATTCATGGTCAGACAGCACGGGGCCATACACCTTTTACAGATCGCGTTTGGAGCCCTCCGTCCTGGCTTTTGACATGGAGGAGAAATGGAACTATTCTCACCCTACGCTCAACTCTGCCCCTCAAAAGTTGCTGCCTGCGATTCCCGGCTTCCAGACGAATGACTCGGGCTATAAAGTTCTTGGAACTTTGCTGTCATCTCGCCGCCCTCCAATGGGCTGGTCCTGTCCGGGTCCTGACGACGGGAATACTGCCCCCATTGGCTTCCCCGGTTCTAAAAAGGCAACAACAATCATTTTGAAAGAAATGAGTAGTTAATCATAGATCTCTTGCTGGGCAGGTTTATTGATAGCTCAAGGGCTATAATCTCATAGGAACACAGAGCCACAAGAGCAATTTCAACGCAATTAAGCAGTAGGGCAGCCTTTAGAAAGATCCCTTTCTCATTACTGGTGACTTATTGAAACCATGCCTTGGAAGCGGGGGGAAAAAAAAATCAGCCCCTTTTGGTATTTAAATAAAATGTTCTCTTAAATATGAAAAAATCCAGGATGCATTTTCTGCATATTTTCACTTCTGATCATCTTTTTTTTTACTAGTGATGCGTCTGTTCCCCCTGTTTTCCCTTTCTCTCTCGTTCTCACCCCTCTCTCTTTCACTCAGTCTCTCACCAACTCTCCCCCCGCCACCCCCTCCACCTCCCTCCCCACTCACCCACCCCCACCGTTCCGAAACTCAGCTCAAGTTAAAAGGAAAGGGCAATTCTTCAAGATAAGTCAAGGCATTTAATAGGCAGACAAGTTATGTTTTGGAAGGCGCCAGCTTCGGTGGGATCAAACCGAGACGCTACCTCAGGGAGAACGAGCAACAGTTAACTCAACTTAACCAATTGTCTTCAAACGATTTAAGTCTGGTGCACGTCCTATTCGCAACAGTCTCACCCAGTGCCGCTCTTATGCATCTCCACAAACATTTTCACAACTCACGATATCTTAAACGGCGATTGAAATAGATACAATATATTGCGTAGAACATTTGCCGACCTTTATCTGCGTTTAATACAAATGCCCGATTCTAGATAAACGCTCATCTCGGCTGTTTGATGAACTCCGGGCACTCTTTTTTTTCCAAAAAAAGGGCTATGTCAAATTGCCAAACGTTTTTCACCTCTCTCTCTCTCTCTCTCAATTTGTTTTAAAAAAGACGCTGTTTAAATCTAATTTATTTATATAGATTGATATCTATATTGTTCTCGATAGCAATATAGAGATTGCCCAAGCTCGAGATCAAAGTATAAGGATGTAGGGGACCTAACCGTTTCGTATTAATTAAAATAAAACTCAGAGGATACACCATAAATTATGATGTTGTTGACATCATTAAAGTCGGGTTACAAATTGTAGGTCTATTTCACCCGCTTTAAACCGAGTTTTCTTCTCTGCTTTGCCGTTAGATTAAATTGTTACTGTACACAACAACATGATGTTATTCTGTCTAACCTTCTAACTTCCCAAGGTTAAAAAAATCACAATATAAAGGTTATCAACAATATATATATATATATGCTTGGAAATATATATATATATAATAAACAAAACCTGATACATTTGAAGTGACAGAACCGCGGTTTAAATCGCTTATTAAAACAGCTGAAGTTTAGGATTCGCATCATTCCGGAAGCCAAAAATATTATTGAGTTTTTGGGGGAGAAAAAAACTCAACTAATCCACGCGGTTTCTCAGCTGTTCCTTGTTTATATCATCGACAAGAAATACAAAAGCTTAAACCGAATCCAGCGCTCCTCTCCGCCTTCCCAACCGAGCATTTTACAATACAGTTTTATGAAAAGATTTACCAACTCGCGTTTGCTTTGGAAAAACCGTTGCAATTGTATAAAATTTACAATATGAAGTAAAACATTTACTGCTTTGACCTCGCTCCCGTGTCACATTGCTTTCATCGAACTCCTGCTCTTGAAGTTAACTGGAAACTTGAAACACAGTTCGACAATGGCTTCTGGTGACATTGTTTGAGCCACAATCTGACATTTATTTCGGAGCATCGAAACGCTAAGGCGACAGTTTGCCTTTACAAGGAAAGCTCTCCAGCGCCAGGAGAACATCAAACGGGACAAAGACTTCCCTCATCGGCGTCTGAGCGACTGGAAGCCACATCTTTCTGATATATACAGTGTATATATATATATAAATATCACCTCAAGAAACACATTCCCTCTATATAATGTACATCTGCTCCTGCTTTGAGTCAGGAAGCGTTCTTCTACATATACCGGTATGTGTGTGTGTGTGTGTGTAAAAAAGTATTGCAATTTGACCAATAATGATGTGAGTTGACTTCAATAATGTTGCAGTTTTAATAGTTTGCAACGGACAAGGAGGTTTGGAAGGGACTGAGAGAAGATCTAACATTGCTTGCAAACAGCTCTGTTAAGAAAAAAGGGTTACTGGCTGTGTCGGTATTGACTAAATAAGTAAGAATAGGTTTATCTGAGCTGTGTGTTACCCACTAATGTATCTATATATATACACACATCTATTATATATATATGTCTTGTCAGAAGGATGTTGCTTCAAAAATCGGTGGTGTGTTGGGAGAGATCAGAATGACGCTTTTCTTTATTGGAGACTGTCTTTGTTTACAAACCAACTTTTTGTTTACCACCGAACAAACAAGTCAGACGTCTGTCGCTTCGCGTGTGATTTGTAGTACCTTTGCAATATTCGTGCTGAATTCTAACATCGAGAATGAAACCTGCGAAGCGAACGCACGAAAGGGAGAAACTTCACACTCATAAAATGAGAGAGAGAAAAATGTTCCGTTCAGTTCGGATCTTAACAGGGCCGGTTCCTGCTTGGAAGTGGGAGCCGAACACTTTTGAATCGATGATGATCGACTTAAATTAAACATAAAGATGAAAGTGGCTGTGCTGTGCTGGTGCTGTGCTGGTGCCCCCTTCTTTCTCAAACGCTAATCTATTCAAGGTGGATTGGAGATGTAACGAAGACCGACTGCACTTCATCTACTCCACACAGACACCAGGACAATTCAGATACTGTAAAATGCGCCCCCAAAAAACTCCCAATTTCACCAGCCTGCAAATATACATACATGGCTGACATCCCTTCGAGTTGGTTTTGTCCTCGCTGTGTACTGGAGAGATGGACTGTGTTGTGATACACCAACACTGACTATCCTATTGCGGGATGTAAATTTGCCATATGTTAATGTGTCCGAGGGGTTAGATAGGAAAATTGTGCTTACATATTTTTTTCGATCGTTACGAATGCACTGTCACAATCTCCTTTGGCAAATCAAGACGGTTCCTCTTCGTTTAGTATTGTGATATTTGTTTCAACAGTTGTCCCGCGATCTGGTTTACTTTGATCGGGATCAGAGCATCACAAGAATGCCTCCAGGGATGTTACATGTCTATGGATTTCCATGGATTGCTCGAAGGATTTTCCGTTACCCACTATTGTGTATTAACTAACAATCACTGTGTTTGGGACTTAATGACAACGGACGCACCGTTTAGGGTTATTGAGCATTTTGCAAGAGGCAAATAATATTAATAAAGAGTGTTAAAACGTCAAGGGCCGATGAACATTTTATTTAATCTATATTGATTTTGAAATGATGGGTTCCTACATTAAATAAAGTCATGGTCTTTAAACGTTTGCGTTGCTTGTCGAGGATCCATATCTATTCAAAAAAAAGTTTTGCATCGAATTTACGCTAAATTATATATTTTTTTAAAACACATCTCGTTGGAATATGGATTTCGGTTTCCCAGTGAATCGCTTCACAGCCCTTTGATTCGTTATTAAGAGTCGACTGAAACTTGCAGTTTTCGTCAAAGGAGGAAATTGAGTGCATTGAAATTAATTGAACTCGTAAAATATATGATTTATAGATATATAGTGTGGCAGGGCACTGTCAATTTCAACACCCCATTATATGTACAGAATTAACATGACCCCTAGTCCTTATATGGATATAAAGATATTCAGTACTCTTATGAATTCGGTGAGTTAACTAATGGCTTATTTAACTAATGTGTTAAATACTCATTTGTATTAATTTAGACTTCAAATCTATTGCCATATTTCAAAACACCTTAAGACAACTGTCTCCTGCGAGAAAACGATTTACTTAAGTTGTATATTAAAACACATTTATTTATTTCGAAGGATTTGTCATGTTAAAGAAAAGTGAAGCACTGTATGTATGGAAATTCGTGTATTATTAGGCTTTTAATGATACAATCGGTAAATTAATGTCCGATTCTACGTCTTGTAACATTTCTACACTTTGATTTTGATCCAGAAGATGGAATTATAGCCAATACAGTAAACCGACATGTTTAATGGGTCGCTATAAGGCAGTTTTCGCCTGAGGTCATGGAAAAGTTAACTTAAAATTAACTTGTTGCAGCCGTTTTTGGCTTGTTTGTGCCTGACTGGGATCAGTTGCGTTGTCAAGACAAACAAACAAACAAACAAACAAACAAACATTTTGCGTACATTTCGGCCGCCCTTATTTTGCGACTGTCGAGGAAACGAATTGCTCAGATATTCCGCCTCAGAAATCATTTCACTGAAGAAATTCGGAGGGAAGCGTGTAAGATTAGTGCTTGTGTAGGCAAGAGGCAATCCCAGACACATGTCTGCGTGTTCCGGAACCCTCTGATCTTTTCAAATAATAAGCTTCTACCCAAAAGCCCAAATAGAAAGCAACTCATCGGCGTTAACACAATGCAATATATCAATACTTGATATCGGTCTTAAATCATGGGATCTTGCAGCAAACAGAGATGATGAAACGCCTGGAGTCTACCTTTGCACATTACACATCTCCAAAACGTAGTTCCACATTTTCCTGGAATGCATCACTTTTGTTTAAGGGAGGTGATGGTGATGGTGATGGTGAATAGGTGGAGTCTACATATAATATAAAGTTAGATTTTTAAAAGCACATTCCATCGGAAAATCTATCAATAGATGGATGGTTCAAATCACCAATTACGGAGTTTCGAAGCATTATGCGACTGCATACAGTTAAAGGAACATTTTTTTTATTAGAAACATGTTTTATAAGGGACTTTCGCAATACAGCAGCCTTGAAGTA